ACTTCCCACACACAAAACCTCTTCTCTTCTCTTTGTTCAAATAGCATTGTATGCGAGTTTACCACCCTTTTCTCCAGCCCCGACTGGAATCATCCACCCTGGATGCCATCCTCAGTACTGATAGTCTTTGGTATGCCTCTTTCATGACGACGGCAAGCCTCACCTGACATATAGGCACAGCCTAGTATTTTTCTTCCAAAGAGAACTGTTCGAAAGGTGAGCTGAGCCCTCTTCCGCACCTTGCTCTTTAAGCTTTACTAACGTCGTGAAAGCAGGAAGCTTCCATAACTGGAGTGCCCTGCGGCCTTCAGCAATTGGGGCAGATTATGCAAAGATCGACGAAGGATACTAATCCCAACTCCTCTTTTCGAGTGAATGACACAATTCTTACGACAGCAATCACAACAGACTAGAGACGATCACGAGAATCAATCAAGGAGGTACGAGCGAAGACTGCAACCGATGATTCACATTTGACTTCTCGCCACTGGCACTTCCAGGACTTGGTATCTCAGCTCCGGTATGTTCACTCTTCCAACTGTTCTTTGTTACACCTGTTTTGCCCCCTTGAAAGCCAAGTAATACCCATGCCTTCGGTCTGTCTGCCATGTAACCGCTTAATCTCGACATAGATACCATCATGAAGAAAGCATCTTCCAGTGGCATAATTCTTTATCTAATCCGCCCTGCAGAGTCCAGTCTTGGATATTTCTAAGCAAACGGAGGAGCTCACACGCGACAGGACCCTCCGTTGTGCGCTCCAACCATCCCAAAAATACTGTTCGAACAATACTCTCCTCAATCGTCAAAGGTCTTTCTCTGGACTACGGAATGGTTCTCGACTCAAAGCTACAGGCCCTGGCTTGCGTATCTCAGCCGGTCGTCACACTGAGGCGGCTCTCACTCACCCACTCAAGGGCCCGTAGCTTTGAGTCCGATCCATGTTTCAAGGACCAAGAGGCTCGAATATCCAACCTCCTCCTCCACCTGCCCACCGCCCCCAACCAGCTTGCTTGCATATGTGGGTGGCGGGGGGCGGGGGGGAGGACTTTCAGATCTCTGCAAAGAAGAGGTTTCAAACAACTCGTTTCCGGCTCGAAGACCACAGACTAGTCCGTCTTCACCCAATACCGCTCGTGTGTGTGCATCGCTAACTTGGTTACAGGAAGACTTTCTCTTCTATTTCAACCATCTGACCGGAGGATTTGGTGAGATCTGACCACGACTGAAAATCCGAGGGTATTTTCTGAATGCCTAGGACTGTTTCATACCTACCTCGGAGTCTCAGTCGTAGACTACCCTCACTCAGACCCTAGAGGCAGTGAATGCAACATCATCGACAAAAGCTTCATCGCTAACGCCGCACGCGGTGCCTTCATAATCCGACCTGCCCCTGCTCGAAACATCTACTGAGCAGTATCCTCTACATTCTATTCATATCGCGGGGGAGACGCTCTTGCACGGTCTTAACGACTAGAGCTCGTCGCAATGTCTACGATGACATTTCGGTTTCTGCTCCAAGGAGAGAAAATGCCTTCACAAGTCCATTTCTCCCCTTGGAGTAGGAAATAGTTCGAAGACTCAACGTCCCGGCTCGAAGAAATAGGGACTGGGGATCATACAGGCACCATTCGAACATCGGAAATCTGCTCGAACAATCACTTACATTTTCCAAGCGCAAGTTTGCGTCGCTCAGCCCAGCCTCAAACGCAATTGCCTTCAAAGGCATTCCCTTGGATGTCTCCCGGCCTCTGCCTCTCCGACTGGCGTTATTGTTCAAACGCCCTGATTACAAAGACATGTTCGAAAGACCAATTGAAAATTAATTGCTTCGCCTTGTCTTGTTGTCAGTAATCAAAGGCACGGCACCCGCATCAACCGCAGCTTCGTATGCGGGCTGTTGGTCTTGAGAATTCCTTTCGCTTGGGATCCTTTATTCTACTGTCCGGAAAGCTCTACTCAAAGAGGTTGGCCCCGCGAACCACGGCTGGGACCATCAGCCTGTTTCCAACTCTAGGCCAGGCCTGGCCTAAGAGCATTTTTCCTTTCCGCCTCCCAACCTCTCGAGCCTCTTACTCGAGAGGCATTTGTTGCCCCAGTTAACGCGCCGAGCGTCACGGCCTTGTCTTACACTCGGGGCCCGTGGGCTTAATTTCATGATCCTGGCGGTGGCTCTCCCTAGGCTTTGGTGGAGGTAACGGAGCTTCCGAGGTAAGAAGGTTAATTACTTACACATCCCCCTTTTGCCTTCCACCTTCTTGCCTCGGAAGCTTGATCCATTCCGCTCCCATTCCTCCATCCCCCAGAAGCAATCATTGATCCCCTGATGGTCAAGATGACCAAGGAGATTTCACTCCGACGCTGTCTCCCGACATTGAGTCTCGTTTTTGGCGACGGACAGCCAATGGGTTTTGAAGCTTCTGGACTCGGTTTTGCACCCCTCGGTAACCAGAAATACCACGCAAATCGCAATCCAGTTCCCGCGCACATCCATCGGGTGTGGTTTTGACGACAGACACACATGACAGGAAGGATTTTGCTGCAGGGCCACAACAAGAGCGAGATCGTAATCTCGGGGATCGGAAACCATATCGAACAGTCAATCGGGCTTGGAGCTTCTGGACTCATGCTTATTCACACACATCTCTGTGCTCACTTCACCGCCCCTTCCCAGGATTCAAGGATTTGTTGGGTTGGAAGTCCAATTCGACTGCGAGTCTAGGGCAGTGCAGAGGTCGATTTCACCTTCAACTAGACGACGATGGCCCCTTCAACTTACAGTTGGAATCTTCCTTCACATTGTTACGCAGAATCAATCAATAGACAGCAATTGGCCCTCCGTCACTCACAGAACCGGACGGTTCGAATTCCCTACCCTGTGATAGAGATACCAACAATCCTCCTTTATTGGGGAACTTCATGAACTCTCAACGAGGCTTAGAATTCTGGAACTGGACTTGTGGTACGGATGGAATGGTATGGGGAACGTTGCGTGGATTGATGCAGGGTGGTTAGCTACTGGACACCACAGCCTCGGGCCTGTGGCATAGCATATTGGAAGGGCAGATTCAAGACAATACACTTTGAAAACAGTGTTCTCGTTCCAAACAAAGAATTGAGCTCTTAAGAATCGTGCTGAGACAGTGAATGTCAGAAGGTGTTGTCTTGATGTCTATCTCGCTTCACTATGCCATTCCAACAGTAGCTCAGAGTACATGTAGTCAGGTTCATGTCATGTGTTCATCACTTGTGAAATGAGAATATCTGCTCTGAGATCAAGTGAAAGTTAAAATTGGGAATGTGGTATCAAAACTTTTAAAACACAGCTCTATAGGTACCCGACGCTCTATTTGGCGCATCTGGGATCCGAATCCGCTCCGAAATCCTTGCAAACCTCTCTACCAAGCGCCTTCAGGTTCTCAACCACCCACAACCGCTGGTTGGAGAAAACAAAGACCTTGCCCGGAGCAAACGCAAAGTTGTTCGACGTCTCGCCCAAGTGAATCTTTCCAAGCAAGACACCCTTAGGGTTCCAGACGTGGATACCATCGCCGCAGCCGCCCCAGACATTACCGTCGGTATCAGCGTGGACACCGTCGGGAAAGCCGTTATCCGCGTACGCGAACACGCGCTTGTTGGCGAGCTTCTTGTTGTCGATAATGTCAAAGGCGTAGATGGTGGCAGGACCGGACAGGTTAGGGGCGGTGGTGATGGCGCCCGTGTCGGAGACGTACAGCGTCTTTCCGTCCGGTGAGAACTCGACGCCGTTGGGCTGCTGGAAGCCGTCCGCTACGACTTGGACTGTACCCGTGGAGGGCTCAAAGCGGTAGACGTGCGTGGGGAGGACGGATTCGGGCCTGAACTTCTGGAAGAAGCCGTACTGGGGGTCGGTGAACCAAAGGTCTCCTGTTACCGGGTGCTGGCGGACATCATTGAGCGAGGTGAAGTTGCGGCCGTTGAAGCCGACGATGAGAGGCTCTGACTTGTTGGTGTTGGGGTCGACGGCGAGGAGCTGGGATTTTCTCGTAAGGTCGCCCTGGTCGCACCAGACCTGCATCGGCGGCGTGGCGGACTGGTCCGCGCCGGGCGGGTAGTATGAGCTTCCGCCGTTGGCCTCGGTGAGGCCGTCGAACTGGGTACTTCTGATGGAGAAGTCGTTGAGGTTGAGGACGGTGATGTTAATGTTGTCTGCAGGGTTGTAGTTGGAGGAGATGTACAGGGAGTTGTCCTTCTTGTTGTAGATGCCACCCTCGTGGAATGCCTGCCAGTCTACTTCTACGATCTTACGCGCCGTGGCGTTGGGGCCGAGGACGTCTGCGAAGGCGGGCTGATATGCCAGGAGGGAGATTGCCGGGGTGGGCAGTGTAGCGCCGGCGTTGATGGAGGCGAGATAGCCGGCGCCTCCTGTCGCCAGGGCGTGGAGGTCTACGTTGATGAGAGACATGCTTGCGGCTTGAGACCAGAGGACTGCAACTTGGCTGAGAGAAGGTACGAGGAGTTGCTGCCGCTTATATTTGTATCATCAAAGGAGTAAGGGAGGCCACAATGGTAGAGGAACCCTCGGCGGCGGTAGCGGGACGGGAAGCTTCTTTATGGTGCTGCTATTCTGTATCCGTACCCATCTTGCATCGGTTCGTCCGCGACAAGCCATTGGGCTTGGCGTCTATTAGTTCATAATATCCCACTCTACTGGAACAGGGACCATGAAGCTATGACGTTTTGAATCACACGTTAGTTAGGGGCCATGGTATCTTGTCAGAGCTGGCCACGGAACCGTTACTGGTGTTAACTAGCGTCGGCCGGTAGTTGGGCTGACACCGGGTGGATGGTAAGCTGGTCTTTGGTACGGACTGCGGACCATGCGGGCAGCGGAGATCATGGTAGAGCCGAACGAGTCGTGGGGACTGGGCAGTAGAGAAATGTGAGAGGGTAGTGAAATTTGATGAAGCCAAAAATGTCTGCTCTTTGGCTTGGCACTATGGGACCATTCCCCCGCAGAGATGGGCGCATCCCTGGCGACTATCCCTGGCTTGCAAGCCCAAAACACCAACGGGATGAAGTCCGGCTTCGGACGTCGTGGTCTCGGTGGATCTCCGCGAGTCGTTGCTCTAGTTCACGATGCAGCGGTACGACTGTATATGCGCTGCGGACAATTACCGGGAGTTTTCCCTTCTGCCTCTTGGCTCTGGAGTCTGGAGACCTTCAACCAGGGCTCTGGGGTGTACTACTTTTTTTCTTCGAGAACCCTTTTGGTGTTCTTTAACTCCGGTGCTCCTAGAATAGAGCCTACGAGAGTCAGGAGTTGATGACGGTGCGGAGACGCCAGAGAACGCCCAATAAGACTAAGACAGGAACGGCGATCGCCTTTAGGGGCTGGTAGGGCCGATCTTTGAATGATTGCGGAGATCATGTAACTCTAAACCCCACAAACAAGCTTATTGACAGCCACCCCTCGCGCGTACGGCATTGTACGGTATTGGGCTGCATGGTGGTCTCTCTCGAAGTGGACGAGACGAGTATGTGTTGATTGCTGGCGCTGAGGCGCATAGTCTTGGCTGCAAAATATCTTGTTTCGTTCATCCCAAGTCCCCCTTGCTAGAGCAAAACTCTGTTCAACTTGACACACGAGAGACGTAGGCTGGACAACGCCATCGCAACTACGGATGTTGACGGTCATACACATGGGATGCAAGGCAGCGAGAGATTGGGCGTGTGCGGGCCCGACAAAGCGGTCGTCTACTGTCCGTAGACAGTTGGGTCGTTCGAAATTTGAGCTTGTTTGGTGAGATTTCCCGAGTGTATGAGGTCTTTTTTGGGACGAAAAAGGGCCGAGAGAAGAGTGCCGGAGGGAGACCGTTACATGACTCTGCTGACGATGGTGGACCGTTTCGCCGGCCTGTGCTTGGCTTGGCGTGCCAATTTTGCCCAGCCGAGTTGTTGACTCGATCTCCGAGTCTCAGCGACGATTTGCATGAGCACTTGACGGCCGAGGACAGAAATCTCTGTTCGGCCGAGGGCTGGACCACATGATAAACATAAGAGAGCTTGTTCACGATACAAGCTGTAGCAAGAAACGAACGTCAAAAGGTCCAAAGCTGTCCTGAAACAGGCACGTTAGCGAATCCTTGGCCTGAGTACAAAAGATAATAGAATTTTCTCATCGTGAGGCGCGGCTCTCCTAGTCAAGATTCAGCCGGCAATCGGTTGTCTTGGGTCTACCCGTCTCGGCGATGGCTTGATGCACGCCAAGATGATCTCCGGCAGGAATGTCCCTTGACAATTGGATCAGCTCTGTCAGAACACCTGAGCCGGTTTCCCGGGTTTGAGGCATTGTAACGTCGCCACGTGAAGCCAGCTTCATTAGCTATTGGCTAAGCCAGCCCAAGGTATCATTTACAAACAACAGCAGGCACGTGGGAGTCTGGCATTTCATTACGGTCACGAAGTAAGATAATGTTGGCTGGATCCACCTCGGAAGGTAGTTGAGGAAAACAAAGCGCTTATTTGGCAACCTGACTATCCCCGGAGACTGCCAATGCATGAACATTAGACGTGGCACGGGCAAGAGTAATCTGCATCTCGCCAACGATGCTCCTTCCCATTCGAAATAATTTTGGGGCATACGGATTGTCTTATGTCTACGCCTCAATCAAGGTCAAAGAGCACCTGGTTGGAGTTGAGGTACTTCCGTCAGATGTAAGCCATGTCTGTGGTGTTGATGATGGTACCTTAGCTCGTGTTGCTCAGTAACTACCTTACTTTGCCTTATGGCATGAGACTCAAGTACGACCAACCCGCAACTACAACTGGACATGTCTATACGTATACCATGAATTAGAGAAGGAAACACAAGTCTCAAGAACTAGTTATTCGAGCTTTTGGATTTTATTAACTACGTAATTCCTCTGTGATGTTCCCTTGGCCCTCTCCTCGCCCCATGGTTGACCTATTGAGGCAGCCTTGTTTAGGCAGTCCGACCTGGGCGCTTGTCAGCCAGGCAAGAGCAAAGCTACAGCGCTTTACTCTTGATAAAAATGAGTAAACATCCTGAGAGATCCCCAGACGCATCAGAAAAGATCCACCAATGCCAGATAAGCAAGAGATCAATTTGAGGCAGGTGAAGGGCGATGGGCGGTGGTGATACTTTACTCACCTGGCCTTGTTTGAGGACACATATGATATATCGAATAATAGACCAACCAGAGGTTCTCATTAATTAGTGACTAAGATGATGGCAAGGCTAGCGTGCTTTGTGAGGCCATTCAGAGGTGGTTGCCAGCCTCACCCCCAATATTCCACCCAGTCACGTGTGCCCCTGAATAACCTCACCTTCTCGATCCCTCGATGCGTATTCCATCTCACCACCGACTCACATACTTCAGATCGCTCCTGCCTCATTCTTTCTTTCTTCTTCTTGCCTGAATAGAAAGGATCACAAAAGCTAGCCCTACCCACGGAAAATCTCTTGCCCTGCCCACCCACTGCCTTTCGACCGCCCACCTCTTCCACTCAGTCCTTTCTCGCTCATCCTCACACTCCCACTTTCTTCTCTTTTTCTCACACAAACCACACACTTTCTTCTTCACAAACAACTTTCACACTCACATTCACAAGCAAACAACAAAGCAATCCATCACTTCCAACCAACAAATCATCACCAACCAAGAATTCCAATTCTTCACTCATCTCAGTCACCATGAAGGTTCGTTTGTGATCTATTTCCGCTTCTTCCCGTGCCTCGTACCCCCCCCCCCCTCCTCCCCCAAAAGAAATATTGGCGTTCTGAAAACTCACAAATATTCCGCTTCCAGTCCTACGTTGCCATCACCGCCGCTGGCGCCATCATCGGTGCTGCCGTCAACGGTATGCCCGTTCTGGACAACCAGGCTGCTGTCAACGGCCTTGGCGCTCAGATTCCCGCTCAGGCTGGCATCGCTGGCTTCAAGCACAACATTCGCAAGGATCTTGGCTTCAACGCTTCCAAGCCCATCATGAGCATCAGCTCCGAGGCCTTGGTCGTTCACCAGACCACCACCATGGCCGACTACAAGCAGCCCATGGCTACTGAGGTCAACAAGTGCACCACTTTCCCGATCAGCGAGCCCGCTCTTGGCCTCACTGGCATCATGGAGATGTGTGCTCCCATGAAGACGACTCTCAACATGGGCATTGGAACCAAGACCACTCTCGAGCAGGTCAATGCTCCCATTGTCACCGCTCCTCACATTACCTCCGCTCTCTCCATCGAGATTGCCACCGCTGCTCCTGTCGAGCAGTCTACCACCATGGAGATCCACGAGCGCATCTCCAGCTGGTGCGTCACCGCGACTAGAACTGATGGCTCCAAGCCCTACATCTGCACCGCTGGTGTGGATAATTACCCTCGTCCCCCTGGCACTGCCACCTTCATCTACACTCCCTTCTCTGGTCCTACCCCCACTACCCCCTCCTTCTTCCTCACTACTTTCAGCGAGGACCCTGCGATGCCCTCGATCGCTCCCGACTACACTCCCTTCGCTCCTCCTACCACTTCGGAGCCCAGCTTCTTCCTTACTACTTTCAGCGAGGATCCCGAGATGGTCGCCGCTGCTTCTACCTCGACTCCTCTTGCCACCTCGTCCACTGAGTATAGCATCATCGGCGCCCCGATTGTTACTCGTGCCACCACTGTCGAGCCCGTCATCACTGAGACTCAGACTGTCATTGTTACAGCCTCGGCTTAGGTGTCATGTCACCTTTACATACATGTGATCTCAACATATTGAAAAGTTTGGGAAAGAACCTGGATCGGTGGATTTTGGGCATACTTGTGGGGGATTCGTTTCCATTCATGGGAACACTTGGGATTCAAGACGGACTGGGTTTGGGAACAGGCATCAAGGAGGGTTCAGGTCAATGGGTCATTCATTCTCCATTGTGATTAAACTTCGACCAGTATCAGGTTCTCATTCATCGTTGGCAGCTACAGGCTGCTCGTTGATATCAGCAGCAAAGGCTGCGTATCAGGTGTGACAAAGAATACACTGGCATTGAAAACAATCATCCTGTCCCTTCTCTTTGTGACTTTGTGACGTTCTGTCACCTGTGACGGCTTTCTGTGTTCATCTCCCCCATCCTAACGCTTTTGAGGCCCCGTGGTGAAGTCCTTGAAAGAAGTCACGATGATACCTTTGGTGGTCTCTCTTTCTCATTTTTTATTTGATGCCTACAGAATAGCTACTTGACCCGCTAGGTGTCCCGTTACAGGAGACCTTGTCATTTTCTTAATTTTCTCTTGGCTTCAATCCCCTCAGTGTCTTTAAGGTCGAGGATGTGTTTAACACCTGCCTCAACAGCTCTGGATAGTCCCACCCCAGTGCCTCAGCTGCCAAAAGCGTCAGACTCGCCTGGTCATCCCGCCCAGGCCGTCCAGGGCCGGTCATGTTCTGCATTGATGGCTTGTTAAAGTCTTTCGGATGACATACATAATCGCAAAGACAAGCTTACCGGCTTCATGTTTACGTCGAATAGAGCAAAGTCGGATCCAGACCTCTCAGAAAATCGCCGCACATCGATACGAATGGGGGCTGCGACGCCCAGTGCCCTCGCTGCTGCCTCACACTCCCTCGCGATCCGTCCATACGCAGGGTCCTCCTCCTCCTTTGCCGTTATCACTCTCGAGTTGGCAGTGACCGCTACCACGCCGTTGTAGGGAGCGATCCCGTCTTGATGATTGAAGCGTGTGACGACGGGCAAGGACCAGTAGTCTTTTTTCTGCCCATTCGGTGGCATCACGGTTATGGTGGCTTCTTCGCCAGAGAGGTATTCCTCCAGCATGATGCTCGGCGACTCTTGGAAGAGGACTTTGGTGTGGGCAATGAGATCCTCGAGATTTTGGCAGACTCGAACGCCGTGACTTCCCCGTCCGCGAATGGGTTTTGCGACGATCGGGAACGGCAATTGGAGCTGCTCAATCTTTGTTGCTACTGCTGGGTCGGAGTTGATTGTCCAGGAGCGAGGCATCGTAAAGCCACCGATGCGGCGAAGCAAATCATTCACATATTCCTTGTCATCGTACTTTTCAACAACAAGAGGCCCATGCCCGACCGCTTTGATTGTATCCTGGACATTCCCGAGGGACGTGGAAGTTTGGAGTGGGTGAGATGCGAATAAGATTGTGTTGGCCCAGAGATGAGTTGCTCCCTTCTTGATGGCGTCTAGAATCCCCTCTTCGGTATCCGGAAAGCACCACTCGGTATCTTTATCTGGCGAGGGCGTCGAAACTGGAGTAACCGCAATTAAAGACTTGCTGCCTTGGAGGTTGAAGGCGATATCGGCTCCTGAGTCGCGGTATCCTAAGATCTGTTAGTTGAAGTTGGGGCAAGCATGTTTACGAGATAAGACTGACCACCAGGCTTCATCGGCTTGCGCACCCCATTGATGATAGGAGGATCTATGGCTTGGTAGAGCACAGCGACTCTTTTCGACTCCATCTTATGTGAGTCTATCGATGAGTTCCGGGGTGAGGTGATGGCAAACAGCCTACGAGAGTTGACGTTGAGGGTGCGGGGTAGATGAGTCGCGATCCTGTATGGGAATTTAACTCTCAAGGGCCTGCCAACCGCGTTCATCATTCAAAGTACTGGGTCGCCTCTCTCAGCGCGGTAGTTGATATGCTGAAGTTGATGTACAATGGGATTGGGGCTCTTGCCAGTGTTAGGTATTGATGATGTGAAGTTGTGGACGGAGTAGTCCGTCGGATTAGTCCGTCCGCATTATTTCCGTCCGGAAGTCGGCATTGCCAATATGGGGTCTGGCGACGCAGCAGACTGCCATCGAAGATCACCCCATCATCTATTACTGGCCAAACATATCCCACAGACTAGGGAAGAGCTCATCAATGTCAGGCACGCTTGTCGACACGAACTCTTGAAGCTCGGGCATATCGACTGGCTGCTCGGAGAATTCTGCGCTCGATGTGGACGTAGCTAGCTTCTCAATGACCTCGGAATACTGCGCAATGCACAAGTCTCCCACGTCCCAGGCTTTTTGGCGATGAATTTGCAGCGCATTGATGAGATCGCGTGCCAGCTTCAGCGACATACTTTGCGCCAGTCCGCTGACGGTGTTCTCTGTTTCTAAAGCGCAGCGGAGGAGGAACTTGGTGGTGGACGTGAATGCAAAGGTGAGAAGCGGGAGCCAGTAGTCGCCAAGCTGGGGATCTTTAAGTTCTTGAACCAGAAGCACAATCTCCTCGGCCGCCCGTCGTACTTCAAGATAGCAACGCATGGGGATCGAAGATGTGTGGTCGGCGTTGGCTGCCTTCTCGGCGTCGAGTTCCCACTTCCGAAGCAATAGCCTGATGTAGAGATACGCCAGACGTAGGTTCGCTGAACCTGGTATGTCGAGACTCTCGCCCCCGCGGATGATCCTCCGCCTTATATTGCTATCCAGTGAGTCTTCCCACTGCGTGAGCAAGACCTCCAGGTCCCAAGGACCGGTAGTTGAGGTCTTTTCTAGGTCATATATGCGCTCCAAATATCTGTCGAGGAAACGGGACAGAGCGACGAATGCCAAGTATACAGACGTTGCCTCGTGGTCGACAGGATTCGGTGCCGAGCCGCATAGCTGCTCTACCGTAGGAAGAGCGACATCGTGCTGGCCGCTCCTGAGCTGCGGCGGCGTGCCGTACGCCAGACTCGACCTGGGTAATCGTTAGCCCAAGCGAATTGCACCTTTGCGTTGTGCTTGCACATACCACTTATCATACACAAAGATGGCCCACCAGATCTTTGTTCGCAGGAGCTTCTCGGCTTCTGGAATATCCCAATCGGAAGAGTCTCTGTTTAAGCCGAGTGAGTGAGCTAGAGAGATAGCGGAGCCAAGCTGAAGGCCGTTGCCAATAATCGAAGTCAATGGCCGGCCGGCGATATTGAGAAGGATGGCTAGCAAAGTCGAGATGCCTGGGGAAAGGTGCATTTCCGAGTAAAGGGCATCGTTGGCCTGGTTCCAAATGAACCTAGTATCGGGCCGATGTTGAGTGACGAGTTCAGGGGACTGCGCCCAGTAGGTCATTGTATGCGCATAGAGCGAGGCCAATAAGGCCGGCGATATGTGCCTCCTGTCCTCGGCGAACCGTTTCTCAAAGGACTGTCTATCCAACAAGGGGAAACAACGGTTGGGCTTTTCAAAGAAGCTAGGAACGCAAGTCAGGTCGCGACACGCATCAGTAGCAGCTGACTGCGACTTACAGCTGGACAACATCGGGTAGCATTGGCTCAAGAAGTTTCTCAATCATCTGGCACTTCAAGAAGGCTGGGTTGCGGTCGTCAGGAAGGCCGATAGGCTGCTTTCTCACCGTGGTAAAGACAACGGGTTTCCTTGAGCCACCTCCGTGCTCTTGCCGTGGGCTCGTCACCGATATCCTACCCCGGTTCAAACCAGACGAATCAGTAGACAAGTACGTGGACAAGACTTGAGTATCTTCAATGTCTGCTGGCCCTACAATATGTGCCTCATCCTCGCCGCCATCGCCAATGGGCTCTGGGTACCGCTTGTTCTGGGGTGAGAATATGGGAGGATGGCCATCTGAGGACTTTGACACACGCCGGTCTGCCTCGGCCAACGTAAGCTGGTTCGTCTGGTCATTGTACTGAGGCTCCGAGGAGAACGTCGGAGCCGGGGGCTGAGGTGGCGGGGACGGGCGGTGGCCCAGGTCCTTTGATGTACGGGCTTGGGCGTTTCTCCAAGCAGACTTCGGCCGCGGCGAAGCTCCACCAGGAGCCGGTGGGAACTCGCATTGTGTTCCGTGAGCTCGGCAAGTCAAGCATGTTCCTCCATTTTTGTCGACATTACACCGGGACTTGCGCTTCCGGCAGGCCAGGCACGCCGGGCGAAGGTGGGAGCGGTAGGGGCGCTCCGAGGGCAAGGAGCCGCTGTCAGCCTCGGACGCCATAGTTCTGATGTTCGAGGTGTCTCTCTGGTAATATCGAGACAAACTCGTTGCATAGTCTGCCGAATTGGTCGTGGCTATTGATGTTATTCATCCTTATCTCGAGGGGTTTGTGGTGTAAATGGCCGTTTCCCGCGGTGAACTTGGAGGTTTCCCGAGGAGACGTCTAGGATTATCTAATCGATAAGGCCCATAATCAAGATGACATAATCCCATATCGATAACGCACCTCGTCAAATCGGGACAGTGACTTTCTCCTGCCTTCAGGCCACTAACTACTCTTTCCTGTGTGTAATTGAGGCATCAACTTCTCATCTACCACTCCAACAGCCAACCTCATCGCTCACCATGTTCTTCCGCATACACATGCAACAAGTGATTCCGCTTCGCCGATTGCCTCGAGCAGACAAGTCGTCCAAATTTAGACAAGACACTTTGGAAGCTCGCATCAATGATGGGCCGAGAAGCGACACTATATCCCAATCAGCAGCTTTGCCACCTACCAAGGCGCTGAGAAGGAGGAGAGCCAAGCTGTAATGGACCAATTTAACAGACCGGCGTGCTGTCATGCCTCCCCGCGCACTGAGAAATATCTCGATCTCGATGCCCCAGCATTCTCTCATTCATCACGAAATGCGACTAGACTGCGACCTGTGAAATGGTACCAGCGCGGCCTCGAAGTATGCTGTCCACGATGTAACCGCAACGCTTAGGCAGGATGCAGCGTGCACTACTCCGTACCGAAGCAGGGACTCGATGTCTACAGAAGCGAGGGCTAGAGGCGTTCTCTTCGATGCTGGATACCACCTCCGGGAATTCCCCCTGACCGATGTTCAAAAAGAGTCCAAAGTTGCCTTATTCGTCGAATCAACGCGAAGAGCCTCGTCGCATACGTGGTCCAAGAGCACCATGTCTTGGTGGTTGCCGCAGTTGCAAAACTGAAGATGTGGATGGCCTCTCCTACCTGGTTGATTTTGGGCGAGCATCCAGTCAGATGTCTTGACAAACTGGACACGGTCACTCCGAATCTATCAAGGCCATCCCTGGACATGATACCCAGATGGACCATCTCCTCGCCGGCATGGTAACCCCTCCTGTCATCTCTCTTCTCTTCAACCTGCACCAGCGGGCCGCCAGGCATCGAGGCATCATTTGAACTGCAGCAACGCCGGGCCACGACTCCTTATGCAGTATTGATGCATCACCGAGAGCAAGTTTAGAATCAACGGCTTGAAGTCGAGCCTGCATTGTGTCGCATCCCGAGCATTAGGTGTGCAGTATCACCACGGTCGCAAAGGGTAGTTGCCGTGATGCCAGGCTGGGATGCGTTTGTGGCGCCGCATATCGCCAGTCCACCTTTCTACGATACGCAGGGAATCAACGTCTGAAAGCTCGAGTGAGACAGAGAACGGACGAAGACTGTTGACTGAAAACTTGTCTTTCGGTTGCAAATGTCGTGGAGTATTCTACTCCCAGTGGCACGCCCTTCTAATCGTGGAACGAATCCCAGCCTACAGCACGGGCATCGAACTGAATATTCCGTAATTGGCTGACTACTTCTCGAGTCTGGACGCAGTCGTGCCATTCTACCAGTCACGACTCACGAGCCGATGGAAAAATTTCCCTTGGGGGACTTTTGCTCGATACTACTCGTGCCAATGATCCTTTGGCTGCAGGAATACGAGTGACCAGGCCGTCGAAATCGTGGTGCGGGAAGACCTGGTCGGATTTTTGAGAGAATTAGGGATGCATCTCCATGAGGATCTGAAACGCCCACCAGGACTATACGGTTACATTTGTGATCTTTACCACCGAGGCTCAGCAGCTAGCGCTGAAATCACAGCATACTTTGTACAGGTTGCAGCCTTTACCAATACACTGGGTTCTGATCTCGACGCACGAAATCGAAGTTGGGCCCAATTGAGCAGTCTCTCCGGCTTTGGACGCTGGAGGAACGGAGTCGTCTCCAGAATCCCGCTGCCGATCACGATCGTCAAGGAGCAAATCGACTGGGGCAGAAAGATGTGCGATGCAGCTTCTTCAGCAGGTGAGTGAGCAGTCAGCACCATGAGCCGTCTTTATGCGCACATGCCAAAAGACTAGCAGTCAAGGGACGAACATGATAGCGGCATCAAATAAGGTGTTCATCTCCTGGATATCTTACCTGCAGGCAGTAGCGACACATGGCGCATTTGAAATACCTCGAGGGTTGACGCGTCGGCAGCTTACACAGTAAAGATTTCCATCTCCAGCCGGGTCGCAGCCAGCATAAAGAGGAAATAGGACCGAGGCGAAGCAAGATCGGGGATCGGCCGCGATGGAGTCAATATCCACTCAACGTATCCATAAGCCGACGGATCGCCGTGGGCCCTGAACAATAGTCCGCATGCAGAAGCTCTTTTCCCTCAGCTTTTCCCTGCCTTTTCGCAACCACAGGTCGAGCATGAATCCTGCAAAATCGGCTTCGTGTCCACCAAGGGACCCCATGACTCCAGACGAGCGCATGGGTCAGTTGTTCGCTGCTGCGGCACCGCGCTGAAAGCCAGGCTGACGAGAGCTTTCACGCGCGGGCGAGAGTGAGACGAGTCATCTGTGCTGTCGCCTTTTGCCGTTCACCAACGAACGCAACCGGGAGTTACCATATTTTGCCGTCTCCCAGCGAGAACGAGGGAGGATGCAAAGAAACTTCCGCGCTCGGGCAGAATATGTTGAAGAATAAGGGCAACAAGGTGGGAGAGGAAACACCCAAGGATTGGTGTGTTTGTCTATTTCCAGGCTTGCCAGGATATGATTAGTTTCTCTTCAACGAGATGATCAGATGGCTGCGGTAACCTTCAAAGTTCTATCAACCACGCGGGGTCTAGACCAATGAAAGGCAGAAATTGGCTTCTTGATGCTGTGCCCCCTCCGTCATACTCCAACGTCTCATCGACGTGAATCAGAAACTCACCTTCCCAGCCCCCGTCATCCTCGGTGGAGAGCAAAGGGATTCCAAGGAAGCATTTGTCGAAGCATCCAAGGCAACACCAGGAAGATGTGGCCAGCAGGCTGCGGCACAGGTCCGATTCGGGCCTAGGACAGGACGGCTTCCAGGATGGTGGAGAAGCTCAAGATTACAATTGTCGCGAGTCGTACCCTGCTGCGACGAATGGGAAGGGAAGCCAGTGCCCGATCGCCTCGAGGGCCGCAGCATGACGACAAGGCTACCCCATGTCCATCTCAAACTCTCTTTCCACGATCATTCTAGAACGCGACGTTTCATACGAGCTGAACTAAGAGGCCCCCTTCGTGTCCTTCGTGTCCTTCGTGTGGCTGTTCAACGCCGTTGGGTGGGCGGCTTGAAGGACGCTTGAAGGGGCTGTCTTACCACCATCTCAACGTCTCACTGGTCCAGGTCCCCCTCGTGCTAATCAACCAGGCCAACTTTAGCCAGCTTTAGCGTCCGACAATGGGACGCACCGGCAAGTATGAGCCCCGAGAATACGTTCTCCGCACGTTTAGGATGCGGCATGGTGGAAACCATTACCACAAAAGTTGGGTAAATGGCCAAAAAGGAGGCGCAAATATAACCCTGTTGTGCTTGTCGCCGACCACTCACGGCAGATGGCCTTTGAATCTTGGCCATGACCTGATCATGCCGCTGGAGATCTTAATGTTGAACCCCCCGGCCATTATCAGATTCTTCTTTTCTGCCTCCCTTCGGACCCTCCCCCCTTTCGCCATCACACAATGGGGCACCTGGGGACGTGCCAAGTCGGGAGTTATTAAAGAAAGAGGGGTCCCGCAAACCGCCAAGATAGGGCTGCGGCGGGTTTTGCGATATTAATATTCTTTTTTGACCTCTGGGTTCGTTTCTTTCTCACAGCGAGGGAGAGAAGGGATTCATGATCCTGTCGTTTCTTGGCCGTGGATCGGCTCAGCTTGCCCTCGACGACTCACAATGTCCGGCCTCGTCTTGGCCGCCGAAGGCGAAACTACACACAACGTAACGGCCGAATATCTCGCGGAAGATTCTGGCGGCACGCTAATAGGCATATCCATCGCCTTTGCCGTCCTCACGACCTTTTTCCTCGGCCTGCGACTATTTGCAAAACGGTTTACTGCTGGCGGGTATGGCTTGGACGACTATTTCCTGGCGGCGGCCTATGTGGTGGACTTGGGGATGTGCGCCGTCGGCATCGGTAGGTTTTCTGCCCAGCGTGGAAATGGCGTGGTTTTCGAGGTCCGAACTCTCGACTAACTCTGTATTCGTCAGTCATGGTTAAGGTCGGCGGTGTTGGACGACACGTTGAATTTGTCGAGGAGTTTCACCCAGCCCTCCTGACCGGGTGGGCGAAGTGCATCCTCGCGTTTGAGATCATCTACTTCACCTCAGTCGCGCTGCCCAAGATGGGCATCGTCTGCCTCTACCTGCGCGTCTTCAACTGGAAGGGGGCTATGCGAACCACGGCCTACGTGCTGCTGGTGACTCTGGCCGCGACGAGCTTCTCCTTCATCATCACTGCTTGCTTCCAGTGCCAGCCCATTGAATTCTGGTGGGACCGGACGATTCCAGGCGGAAAGTGTGTCGACGTTCAGGCCTTCTTCCATGCACAGAGCATTCCGGGCTTCGTGCTGGACTTTTTCATCATGACTTTACCGCTCAAGACTATTTGGGACCTGAAGCTGCCGACGCACAAGCGCGTTGCACTCATCGGCATCTTCATGATCGGCAGTTTGTAAGTTCATTCCGCGTTGGGCGGGAGCGGAGGTGTCCCCGAGACTGACGATTTCGCAGCGGCATTGTTGCCAGTATCATCAGGGCCATCATATTCTTTAGCAACTCTGCCTTTTCGGACCGTACATGTAAGTGATACCTGGTAGTGACTCTTGAAGATGCGCAAGTTGACTAACACTCCGACTAGGGGCATCCGTCGGTCTCGTCGGCTGGAGTATCATCGAAACAGGAACCTACATCATCGCCGCATGCCTCCCCCACCTGCGACCAATGATCTCACACTACACACCGCCATGGCTCAAGTCCATGGTCCGCAAGACGATATCACAAGCCAGCAACTCCATGTCCAAAGTGACCAACTCAAAGAACCACACACAACCGCGACGCGGCGATGACGAGGTGGAGCTCACCGCACGATCGAAGAAGCAGACGGTAGACACGGAAAGTGATATGGGCGGGGACGAGGAGCATGGATACGCCGGAGGGATACGATCGCCAGCATCAGGCATGACTGTCGAGGTGCGAAAGTCGGATGATTTGGTCGGCGGAGAATGGACCAGGCAGGGCCAGATCCGAGTGACGACGGAAGTCAAGATGGAGAGAGTGCGAACGTCGGCCTTCCTGAAGGGCCCAGACTCATGAAAGTTTTGCCATACCAAATGTTTGATAGTAATGATATCCACTCAAGTTTGAATGTTGACAACCCAAGACGTCCATCGCGCCCTTTTCATTCATTACAGACATTTGCTACACTTCATACTTTGACAATCACAAGTACGACTTTGGTCCCTTCGCCTCCGCTGGCCCCAAGAGCTCATCCGCCATCCCGCGTCCCGCTGCCCTTCCGGAAAAGATGCAGCCTCCCAAGAACGTGCCCTCTAAGCTGTTGTATCCGTGAACACCACCGCCGCCGAAGCCTGCTGCCTCACCGGCCGCATACAGACCAGGGAACTTCTCCCCATCCGCCTTCATGACGTTACTCTCTAGATTTGTCTCAATACCGCCCAGCGTCTTGCGCGTCAACAAATTCATCCGCACGGCGATCAGCGGACCATGCTTGGGATCCAGCAGCTTATGCGGCGGCGCGATGCGACTCCTCTTATCAGCCCAGTACGTCCGTCCATTATTGATGAGCATGGCCTGAGCATCCTTGGAGTAGGCATTATCAAACTGCCCGTCGCGGATCTCAATCGTCTCCTTGATGTCCTCCAGGCTCAGCACCGGCCCGCCGCGCTCGCGCTGCAGCTCGTTCATGCCCTGCACCAGGTCGGCGAGGTTATCTTTGACGACAAAGTCCTTGCCGTACTTTTGGAAATTCTGCACGGGGACGGTGCCTTTCTTGCCGAACACGCGCGTGAGGAGCTGCCACATGCTCTTGCCTGTGACGTCCGGGTTCTGCTCCGAGCCAGAGAGCGCAAACTCGCGCGCGATGATGCTCTGGTCGAGGATGAACCAGGTGTAGTCGTACCCCGTGGCGCAGATGTGCTTCAGCGTGCCGAGGGTGTCGGTGCCGGGGAAGAGAAAGGGCGGTAGACGCTTGCCCGTCGCGTCGAGCCACAACGAGCTCGGGGCCGGGAGGACGCGGATGCCGTGGCTGGGCCAGATTGGGTTCCAATTTTGCAGGCCTTCGGTGTAGTGCCACATGCGGTCGCGGTTGATGACGTTGGCGCCGACTGTCTCCGCGATACCAATCATGCGGCCGTCGACGTGGGCTGGGACGCCGACGACAAAGTTCTCGGGGACTTTGGGCCCGAGGCGGTCGATGGGCCACGCTGCTTTCACGGCTTCAACGTTTCCTCCGATACCGCCGGATGTTACTGCCACCGCGGACCCGAATATCTCGAAATCACCTGTGATGTCACGGTTGGACTTGACGCCGCGCGCAGAGTCATCGGGGGCGAGGACCTTTCCACGAACACCGATGGCGCGACCCGTCTCATCGGTGATGATCTCGTCAACGCGGTGTCGGAACCGGAACTGCACGACACCGTTCTTGGCCGCGCGCCTCACTGGCTCCTCAAACACCCTCACGACCTCCGGCCCCGTGCCCCAGGTAACGTGGAACCGCGGCACCGAGTTGCCGTGTCCCTCGGCCATACCTGCGCCTCTCTCAGCCCAGCCGACGTTGAAGAGGAAGCCCATGCCCCTGGCCTTGACGTACTGCTCCATCTCGTCCGAGGCGAAGTTGACAAAGGCCTCGGCCCACCTCCTCGGCCAGGTATCCTCCTTCTCGCGGTCAAACTGCGCGGAGCCGAACCAGTCCCGCATAGCGAGCTCCCTCGAATCCTTGATGCCCATCCTTCGCTGCTCCGTCGAGTCCACACAGAAGATGCCGCCGAGCGACCAGAAGGCCTGGCCGCCGAGATTCGCCTCGTTTTCCTGGTCGATGATGATGGTCGGCACGCCGCGCTCCGAGAGCTCGAACGCCGCGACGAGGCCCGCTAGACCGCCGCCGACGATGATGGCGGGCCGCTCGAGGAGTTCCTTCTTCTTGTCTGCGCTCATTGCGGCGAAAGTCGGGCCCGATGTGGAAGGAGAGCCGTGGGAGGGTTTCGCGGGGCTGCGGAGGAGGATGTGGCGGACGATGAGCTTGAGGAGCCAGGCCGAAGCGCCTAGGCCGGCGAGGGTGGCGAGGGTTTGGGCTGGTGTTTGGGGGAGGGGGAAGATGTCGCGCACGTTTTGCAGTTGAGGCGCCATGGCCCTTTTGTGAGTTTGAGTGTTTGCAGAGGAGGGAAGACGGGCTGTCTGTCAGCTTTATGAAGGAGTGAATGAATACGGTAGACCAGGTGAGATGGGAGGTCCAGGGGTGGGTTGGTCGGGATGTCAAGGTAGTATCTTGGCGGGCTGGGCGGACGAATTGCCTGATTCTCGGGTCACTGAAGACTGAAAAGAGATGTCCCGGCCGAATGGAGCTGTGTTCCCAGAGCTCGCAGATTGGCTTATGGTGTTACGACCTGCTAGAAAGAGGCACGAACGTGTATGTATGTGGTGGGACGATGTTCTCGGCTGCGGGGGGGATCCCACGGTTTCTATCTGCCTCTTGGAGCTTGGGTGCTTCACTGTTCTGGTCCGACGGCGTGAATTGAGGCGCAGGGGGGCAAAGTCCGCGGAAGACCGATCTGCGACGCCGTCTGTTCCGGCACGCGGGAGCTCAGGGAATGGTGCTTGAGGATCGGAAAGATTATTTGATTGCTTTTCTGTGAGATGGAGATGTTTTGTGATACGGAGCACAAGGTGGGGAGATGAGTGATGTGCTCACTCAGTAGACGAATGAGAGTGAGGTGAAGCATGAGATGAGGTTCACAGTGAAGCCAACGAAGCTCACTAAGCTGACGAGACGCACAGCTGACATGTGAGTTCCAATTGAGTGAGATGAGCTGCAGTACCATCGCATCCGGCGACACACAGCTGCAACGGGCGAGTTGCAGGGGATTCTGACAGCCCCCGAGTCAGCTAAACAGCTCAGGGTCCCTAACTTCCCCATGCTTCTTCTGCTTCCCCGGTGCGGGGTATCATTGTCCGAGTCCATCGGCTTGCGGGACATGCCTCGGCTCACCGAGCTGTCAACCCCGTATCCTCATTACACTATGCCACCCTCGTCAGTCTTCTTAATTCCGCATGAAAGCCATGAGTTCATCTTAATAGATCTCACGGATATCTGGCCATAGCTTCAATGTTACGCTCATTCTTGGACCTTGACGACAACCTTGCCAAAGTGTCCTCCGCTGTACAGGTAGTTGTACGCCTTATCCGCCTCCTTGAACTGGAAGACCCGGTCGACAACAGGCTTGATACCCTTCTCCTCGTAAAATTCAATCATCTCCTCGAACCGCTCCCTCGGACCATTGATGATACCCTTGAGCGTCACAGTTTTCTTGAGCGCGAGCAAGTTGACGTTCGTCCGGTCCTCCACATCGTCGACTTTACCAGAGAGATATCCAATGCACGCAATCTGCCCGCCGAAGCCAATCGCCTCAAAAGATTGTCGCAGCGTCTTGGCCCCGCCCGTTTCGAGGATGAGGTTGGCGCCCTCGCCCTTGGTGAATTCGTTGACTTTGTCGTCCCAATTGGGCGTGGTGCGGTAGTTGACGGTGTAATCCGCCCCGAGAGCCTTTGCCTTTTTCAATTTCTCGTCCGAGGAAGATGTAACGATGACTTATCGAGATCATTGTTAGCGACAATCAACAAAGCCGTAAGCCCTGGGCGCGTCCATCACTTACCCGTGGCCCCTGAAGCCTTTGCGATTTGCAGTCCCGAAATGGCTACACCACCAGTTCCCTGACATACCACAACCTCGCCCTGGCCACCAGGCTGGCCCAAAGGCCGGAACTGGTTGATTGACATCCAAGCCGTCACAGCAGCAATGGGAAGAGTCGCGGCCTCTTCGTCGCTCAGGTGCTTGGGCGCCCTGACCAACCCCTCAGCAGAGAAGACGCGGTACGTCTGCAAGACACCTTCCAACGGGAAACCGAGACCGCTCTTCATATCAACCGGCTTAATCTGGCCCTTGAGATGCGTCTGATTGAAAATCGACAAGACGCGATCCCCAGCCTTCCACCTGCTGACGCCATCACCTACAGAGACGACGGAGCCGCACATGTCCGAAGCCGGGACGATTGGGTCCGTCTCGGCCGGGTTGATTGTCTTGTGGTGGTTGTAGAGGCCCATGGCCACCTCCGTGTCTCGGTAGTTGAGAGACACGGCGCTGATCTTGACGAGCACCTCGCCGGGCCCGGGCTGCGGCAGGGACGCCGTGGCGAGGAAGAGCTTGTCCAGCCCGTCTTGACGGGTCTGCCAGCGTTGGACTTGCGTGTCGGTGCTCATAATTGCTTGTCGTTGTCTCTGTCCCTTCTATTTGGATGTATCCGTGACGTCTCACACTTCACTTGGTTCTTGCTTTGCTTTTGAAATCTCGACGAGGCGAAAAACAGCTCTTCGAGACCTGAAGGATGACGCATGTATTAGAAATCATCTTCAGATGATCCCCGCAACGGTGGAGCGCGGCGGGGCGTTGCTCTCGTCGTGGCACAAGTTCCACGGCAACGAAGCTCTGGATCGGCCTGGGAGTTCCGGGGCCGAGAATCACTTTCCGGGCTCTTTAGTAGCCGACTTGACCAGTCTCCGTGTGGAATAGGTTCACAAACCTTTCTACGTAATGCGGTCACCTTCTGCAGCAGGTAGCGTGCATGCCGTTCCGCCAGGCGTGCGAACCCAGTCTCTCTCAACATCCAAGCTTCGGAACCCTAAATACCGTATTCAAGCCAAGCGACTACTAATCCTGCTAAATATCATGTCAAGGTGGCACCATCAATTTACTTATTATGCTTGGTTTTCATGCGAAGTATTCGTCTTTTCATACTTTCATAGCTTAGAGTAGACACCAACGTTTACAAGACCTTTCAGCACCATCCTAACCGGTCTTCGGTCTCTCAAAGCACTGAATCAGGATGCAGGTTGGGATCGTCGGAGCAGACCACGCATCCCATCTTTCCCTTCAGTCCATCCATGAAATTACCCTCAGGTATAACCCCTCCGTGATAAATGAGCTGGCGGAAGGTAGACTGGCTCATCAGGGTTGGTATGTCACACTTCTTCGCACCAGAACTGGTCAAGTTGCATTCCATAGTCAGCTCTCTGATTCATGGCTTGGTGCTGTAAGGGCCTAAACACAACATACGCGTAAAAATTACAGCGATCGGACTTTGTGAAATATGTCGACATTGTGATCTCTCGCTGCTTCGCTTCTTCAAAGCTCTGAAGCTCTCCTTTGTAGTGGCACCAAAGGCTGCATTCCCCGGTGTGATTTGGACCCAGGCAGAGAACCAGGTCGCATATGCGTTGCACAGCTGCCTGGCCGGAAGTCTGAGTGCCTAAGCTAGCCTTGTATTTGAGATAATTTTCTCAGTCGTCCTTTCTAACGAGGGCCTCCTTTGGGTCTGTGGGTGTTGCGTCGTTGGATGGGGCCGGAGATGCCATCGCAGCTGCGGTGAGGCCGAGAGTCAGGAGGTGAAGGATAGCCATTTTGGATGGGGCAAGTTCGATTCAAAAACTCTGGGATGGCTTTGGCGAGTTGCGGCGATGTCTTCGAAGCATCAATCTTCGTGAGTGAGACGAATGCGCTTATGTGTGATTTTCGACATTGTGTATGGCTTGGTTGGATAGCCAGCAAATAGACTGGCGAACAGCCAGCCTTGACAACCTTCCCACATGACCGCCAAGACCGAAATACTGAACGATGCAAACACAAGATGTGCCAATGCAGCACGCGGATGATGATGGTGGAAGAGAGGATCCATTGAGCACTGCCGTGCAACATGGCAGGCTTATCGCTTATATCATTGAAGTTTGTCTGCATCACGGGGCTGACTGGACGGGCTGCCCACTCAAAGACTTTGTGAGAACGCCTCCCTGTAGCCGCGTCAAGGAAGGATTCTGGTAAATGAGTCTACGCGTATCAGATTCTGTTCGTTTCTTGCTTCCTTTCAGCTATCCTCAACACTGAACACAAACGAACACCGCACCAGATTCAGATCCATTCGTCAGCCATTGCTGACCGTCAGACAACAAAGTCAATCAAGCGGCCAAAGGCGGAGCCCATTGCAAGGCCAGGCTTTATCTCCAGAAAATCAAATTCACTTTACCATGTGTCTCAGGCGTAATCAATACTGTTATGGGCCTGTGTAACGGGTACGAAATGCTGGTCTCCCTTGCTTGACTGTGTTACGAACAGCAGCAGCCGTATCAAAGGAATGCCGCAAACTCGTAGCCAAAGCCAAGTGCTCACCGCATGCTGCTTCAGTCAACTGCGCGTCGGTTCTGCCAAAGCCTCACCCGGTGTCTCTGCCGCCTCTCCCATCAAATGAGTTTAGGGGCTGCTTTTGTGAGTACGCGTTACGGAATAAGGTCCGTCTACGGATGATGCCTAGCTGCCAATCAGGTGCAAGCAAGTACGACTGCGTCCCCGCAGAATGATTGATTCTAATCTCTCTTCCAAAGGCCGGTTGACCATCCTGAGTCGAGAAGTGATTAAGCTTAACCGGGGTCTGGCCTCAGGGGTGACTTGGTAAGCGAGAACGAAGTTCCAGAGCCTGAGCTCACAGCGGAATCGATTGAATAGCAAGTTTTACTGGAGATCATAGAGTTTAGGGAATCGCAGGCGTGAGAGAATAGGCCTGCTTCTGTGATTAACTCACATCCAGCAGCCACCGGATTCGAGCAGTAGGTCCGACAGAGTTTGCGCCACTGTTCCAACGTAACGATGCTTGGCGACAACCTCTGCCTGTACGTAGACGTAGACGGTCAAGTGTTGGATTCCTCGTCGAATCGTCAATTCCAGCGGCGGAAAAGTCCGCAGCCCTGTGCCTTTGGGGTCTCAGACTTCACTTAATGTGCGAGGACCGCTGTATAAAAGTGCTGGCAGATGCGACTACGTTTCATCTATGCTATCTTGGCATTCCACTCTCCATCAGAACCCACCTCCCACTCTCCGCCCCTACACGATACCATCCATAAGTTGTTCCGAGCATTCGGGTTCGCAATCGTACGTACTCTTAGTGAAGGTACATAGTGGTTGGCATTAACGTGAAACTCTAGTTGTCAATTTAGAGATCTCGGACTTTGTCTGATAGGTGAAGTCATTATTGCTGGCCCAATGGTGAAGACGATAGTGCGTTCACGGCACTCATCACATTTTTGGCCGCTATAAGTCTTTGGTGTTTGAGAGGATAAGTAATCTACTAAGCTCGGGATTTGACACAGTACCTCAGTTCTCAACTTCGTGGCCGCTCAGGGGTGGTGATTCTCTAGCAATCAGGCGAAGATCTAAGGTTCGTCCCATCTATTAAACTTCCGCTGTAGTGGGGTGGCATTACGGACTGCTCCGTGGCGTGCTAGCTCCAAGGAGCGCTACCGTCCGCAGCGTTTCAATTAGAGAGCGGAGACCTGACTCGAAAGCGTACAGTAGCACTGTAGACATGACCTTTCGGGGCTGTCAAGCCTCCAGATCTAGAGGAAGGAGATGTTGGAATAGGCTGAAGAGTCTGCATACAAGATGTATATAACCGCCGGAGTATGGACGTCCGTGACGGAATTGAAAGAATCCTGACTGACTTCTCATCTCTCTTTCGTCTTCTCGTTCGCAAGTGCTTGCACTACTTTCATTCTTTTCTCTAAGGTCGCTTTGCAAACCGTTCCATTCTTTCCTCGAGATTTCCTCGACTACATTCATTTCACCACCAAAAACCCCAGACTTACCAACAAGATGTGGCAAGGATCGCACTTGGCTTTTATCCTCACCGCAGCGGGTTTCCTCGCCTCCGGTGTCCAGGCCGTTGACACCCTCGTTGATGTCGGATACGCCAAGTTTCAAGGCGCCGTGACTGAAGCTGAGCTGGGCGTGACAACTTGGAAGGGAATCCAGTTTGCTGCCCCTCCGGTCGGCGACCTCCGCTTCGCCGCGCCGGCCGACCCGGTCCAGTCTGGACTTGTCAACGCCACGGCACACGGTCCCATCTGCCCTCCCCAACAGCCCACCGATTGGACCGTTTCCAGCACCAATCCGCGCTTCACCGTCGATGAGGACTGTCTCTACCTGAGTGTCACAGCCCCCTCAGATGCGCAGACCGACTCTAGACTGCCCGTTGTTTTCTTCCTCCAGGGCGGTGGATTTGGGTCCAACTCGAACGCAAACTGGGATGCCAGCGAGATTGCTTCGGATGGAAACGTCATTGTTGTTCAAATCAACTACAGAGTTGGCATGTATGGCTTCCTACAGGGCGAGGAGGTCCGCGCTAGCGGCGGTCTCAACGCCGGAGTCAAGGATATGGTGAAGGCTCTTGAGTGGGTTCAGACCAACATCGGCCACTTTGGCGGAAACCCTGAGCAGGTTGTTCTTGACGGTGTCAGTGCCGGCGGCTCAGCTGTCGGTCTTCTCATGACTGCCGATCTCGGCAGCAAGCAGCTCTTTGCAGGAGGTATCGCGGAGTCTGGCGGCTGGGTTACGATGCGCACCATGGAGCAGGGACAGGGCCAGTATGACTGCCTCGTTAAGGAGAAGAACTGCACCGAGGCCGCCGACTCTCTCACCTGCCTTCGCGCCTTGAACCAGTCTGAAGTCCGTTCTTCAAGCTGCTGGTTCAACCCGGGCATCGATGGCGAACTCTTCACCGACAGCATGGTCAACCTCTTCAAGCAAGGCAAGTACAACAAGGTCCCTACCATCTGGGGTTCTTGCGCTCAGGAGGGAACCATGTACTCTGCTCCTCAATCTACCAACTCTACCGAGGCAGCCAACACTTGGCTCCTGGGACAAGATCCCTCCCTGTCCAACGCCTCGCTCGCCATCCTTGACGACCTGTACATCAACACTCCTCGCACCGTCTACCCCGACTCCGGAACCAAGTGGAGGCAGACCGCCGACGCGATCGGTGACATTGGCAACCACTGCATTATCCGCAACATCCAGAACTACCTGGCCCGCGACGAAGCCATCACCTACAACTATAAGTTCGCCGTCCAGGACCCCAAGAACGAGGCCGAAGGTTTCGGCGCGTACCACACTGTGAACACCTACGCATTCTGGGGCAACAACAGGACCGATGGCCAAGCGCCCGAGTCGTACTTCACCATCAACAAGCCCATCATCTCGCAGTTCCGCAAGTACTGGGTCTCGTTCATCCGCAACCTGGACCCCAACACCGATCGCGAAAAGGGTGCCGCCGAGTGGAGACCATTCACTGGTCTTGAGGGCCGTGAGCGTCTTTTTGTGCAGACGAACAACACTCACATGGAGAGAATGAGCACTGCTCAAGCCTTGCGTTGCGACGTTGTTAGACCTATGTCGGAGAACTTGGGCAAGCCGGTTGACACGGGTGTTGTCACTGAGCTGGATGCTACCCTGGCGGCTAGCATCAACAACACCACTGAGGACACCAAGTTCAGGAAGAGACACGTTAGACAGTTCTCCCGGTACTACTAGACGTGTTATCGTACCACATTTCCATAGAGAATACTACCTTTATATTTAAAGAACACTATACAGTTGCCATCTACTAGTTTCCAATACTCGCATGATAGAGACTTTGGAGTTTCTCATCACAGCGAGCAACAAGAAGAAAAGAGGAATAAATTGCAAGAGGAAGTGAACCTTCGTGGCAAGTCCGCCTCTTCCAACGATCTTGTCGCCCCCCTACTTACGTGTTTCATTTGTTACATCATGCCATATTGCCAGGCTCTTAGAAGCCAAACACCAAGTGCTACGTTGGCTGGCTCACAACACAGAGTGGCCTGCTACATCGGCTTCGTGTCCACTAGTCAACAACCCACAGGAACGTTCGTTTCAATCATGTTTATTGATTCGCGTCAACGCGCAAGTCAGTTCATATACACACAAGCTCAGCCCGAGAGCCATGGCTGTCGTCATTTCTCATACTGCACGACCATCTCACTCCATTGAGGGATTCAACATCTCCCTACAGCAGTTGTCAGCAAACACTCGAAAAGCTGGTCCATGTTTTCGTCAACACTTACAAGAGCTGATCTGGTTGTCATAGTCTCCCGAGTAGCCCTGGTCATCTGCCACAGCGAGGTTGTAGTTGTAGCTAAGCGAAACACCACGGTCATCACCCTTGTTGTTGCAGTTGCTATTTGCCTGTCAGTTGAGAAATAGTGAGAACTAGTCTACGAGGATACTGACATGAACTTGTAGAACTGGCAAAGTCCGCCGGTGTTTGAGCTCAAAGAAGTAGTCTGATTCTCGTACTTGTCAAGGAAAGCCTGGGTCTTGTTGAAGCTGGAGTAGTTGACTAGATGGGATTCTGCATCAGCAATTGAGGCTTTGAGTGAGTCAGGCCACCGGCATATATCTAAATTTACCGCATCGTCCGGGAGGAGCACCCCACGAGAGGCACTCGCCGAGGAACCCGGCCTCAGAGCATTGGAGGAGGAAGATGTTCTCAGGAATCACGGGCGGGCGGTTGGGGTCGGGATTTCCATCTCCAGGAACTGCTTGCCGCTTCTCGTTGGTCGCTACGAGGTTAATCAGGTTCGACTTCTGGAACGCAGCGAATGCTTCGGGGTGCTTCTCCTGAACGCTCTGGGCAACAGTGATAATGTTGGTGTTCTCTTGGATCTCGGGAAGAGCAGCGACTTGCTGGAATGCCCAAGAAGCCAGCACGACCGACGTGAGAGATGTGAGCTGCATGATGTCTGTTGTATATAAAGAACGCTGGGTATGTACGTATGTACTCGAGAAATCGCGACTGAAGCAACTCAAGATCAAGGGTGGCGCAAAAGGGATGAAGAGTGAATACGGAGGAGGAGACCGTCTGTTTAAACAAGTTCGGGGGCTTTTCATTTCATTTACTATTGTTTTCAAAAAGCCCGTCTGCCAAGTGTCACCCCGCTCAAAAGAAACCACGCCGGTTAAGGTTCACGACTTGTTTACGAGGGTCGCCCATGTGCGAGTCATTATCGGAAGCGAAATAGTGCCCAGTGTCCACTCGATCCAGGGCGAGAGAAACGTTGATGAAATCAGTTCAGACCGTCAATTGGCCCGGCCCCATCTCCTGGAGTTGCATCAAGAAACCCAATTGTTCCGTTTTGCCAGAATTGCCTCGCTGTTCCTGTGATGGTTTTCAGGGAGTCGCGGTCAACCAAGTCCCTGAATCAATATCGAGAAGCATGGGAATCGTGACCTTGGCGCTATATCCGGTTCATCCGAAAAGTTATGCCCTGCAGGCTCACAGAACTCAATTTCACCAGCCACAACGTCTGCGATATTTACCTCCCTGGAACGGCAGTGAGTCAATATAATAGACTCTTTGAAACCGCAACGCCAAGACGTCGATTGGATCCGCATACATGGATATCCAAGGGAGCTTTGCCGGCGAAAAGGCTCGAAGAAGCTCCCGAGATGAGTTCAAATGCTTGAAGTCTCCTGTTCTCCAGTGCGTTGGAGAATATCTCCCTCGCTTCAGTAATAGAGAAATAACTAAAAAGCAGTGTCCGCATGCAACGGCCAAATGTTGAAAGACGTGGCAGGATTGGGCTTGTTGCAATCGTCCGTCTAAGCCGCCAGGTGCTTACAACTCGAAGCCAATCGATTCAAGGGGCCGATGGCTTAGCAGATGTCAGGAGAATAAGTTCATCACTTCTTCTGTCGTTAGATACTATGCATATTCGAGAGGATAGTCCTTGTATGCTTGTAGCCATGCAGTTACTTTGCCCAGCTGTCTCCACCACCGCCTAAAGGGGGACATCATATGCTTTCGGCCGTCGTGTCTCTCGTTAATGATTTAGATCTTGAGGAGCTTTTTAGCAGTAGCGAAATTACTCACATTAATTTTCTTTTGCCGACTCAAGATTGACCGTACACTAATATTGACTTTAGAAGAACGATGATAATGCAAGTTCTGGAGTCGGATACACCTGACCACTCAGACTTGGGACACCATACGGCTAATTGACATCTGTATACGTGTCATGGATATGCGAAAACTCATTTAGATCCGTAGCGGACTTTTCCTCTATGTTCTCGATTAGGATTATAGTCAAGATGGCGTACAGAAGTGTCAAATCTGCGCGGTAATTACATCATACACGAACATACCAATGGTTTTTATTTTTATTTTTTTTTACACTTAAAGTGCTTCTGTCGTTTGTAATTCACAGCTGCCTGACTCTTTCATGAAGTTCATCAACGTAAACGCTGATAATGCACGCTTCAACTCGACAAACGACGCCTACGCGAGAAGCCTTTATATTCACTCGGTTTGAACCACTGGCCATAGCTAGGCAGCCCAAGACAGCCCAGTTTATCCAGCCAGTCAGCGTCTTCGGCACTCCCAAACGTATAGTATCTGGACGGCGTTATTCCAGACTTCGATGTGGAGGCGAATTCTTTGAGAAAGTCTGCACTTCGAGTCTATATCGCCTTAAGCTAAGTCAATTCTGCCATAAGACACAGGCAACATGATTGTATCACTCACAACATAAACAGCACCTTCGGGGAGTATCACTGGCTGGACTGCTGATCTGAAGGGCTATGTACGTTTTGTCTCGAAAACTCAGATCGCGGTCTGGATCAAGCACCTTTGCCGGAATTGGACAAGTTGCAGAGATTTCATATCATGATGCACCGGGCAGGCGGATATAGGTTGACTGGAATCTACGACCAATTAAACCGAATTGGCATACACACTACCCAATGGTTCCAGCATGGAAATCAGACAGAAGAAAACATGGTATTGATTGGCTGTGAAGGGTTCCATTCTGTGTTCTAGAAGCCAACACCTGCATGTTTCAGCGTTGGACGGGTTTCTTCTTGTTTCCCGAGAGACCAAACGGAGCCCGTTTCGGGTAAACGTTGAGCGGCTTTGTAGTGCCGGCATCAGAAGAAAAGAGGAAATGAATTTATTTGAGAAATTGAGAATTACAGATAAACGTTCTTTCAGCTCAACGGCCTCCGATGCCGCCTCTCATGTGGGGTTTTCCTAGCCTTTACCATAGAAGCACCCTCTTTTTGCTTTCTTATCCTGCATGATACGGCAGGGAATGCCGGGAAGATTAGAAGCGGGCGTCAAGTTGAATGATACGAGACGATCATCGCATCAGGTCAGAAATTCGGGTCGAGAATTTTTAGGAATGGATTTAATGACCCGCGAGTAAGGGACATATGTTGGAATTATCATACGCACATTTCAAGTTTCTAAAAGAGCCTTATTTTATCTACCCAGCCTCATGCGCAGCGCGTGGCTGGAAGTTAAGATTAAGGACACATTAATGCTTGCACAAGCACTAGACAAACTACGTAAGGGGATATAGACATAACCGGCTACCAGCCTGTGCCCCGGCACCGAGGATCTACAGTCCTCCGCACGGAAGTTCCTCCGCGTGCTCCGGAACCCACACCGGGATCCTTCTTAATTCTCCGTGACGCGATTCCAAGTCGGGTCTGGTCGCAGATGTAGCTCGACCCCCACCGAGAGTTCCCCCCTTGCAGCCCTTCTGTGGCAGAGCACCGTTGTCCCTAAACTTGAAATAAGCAACAAAGCCCGGTCACCTCGTGGTCCCGAATGCCCCGTACGTGCTCTCGAGCTGCCCCCTCAAGCCTCCAACAACAGAAGGACCCGAGATCACTCCAACTCAAAGCTTCCAAGCCTTTTGCTTCTCCCGTGCTCTCCCAACTGTTAAGCTCCCAGATCGGCGCTGAGATCGTCCGAGTATGCGGTCCATGCGCCGAGATAGCAGCGACAGAAACCTTGCGGGACTGTGCGGCTGCAAGTCCCTTGAAACCAAACACCGCCCATCAGCTGTCACGCCAGCGGGTGTGAGCACAGCGCCCCAAGCTCTTGAGCTCATCTTTTGGTGTCTCGATAGGCGTTTCGCGGGCATAGCCAAGATACGTCCGTCCAGTATGCCTGGTCTACGACACCATGTATTGGGCCGCTTGCCGGCTTCCCTTTTCTTTGAGCTTCCCCGTCCTTAGTTCGTTTAGTTCTTGGAATATTCTCCAGAACTTTATCCAACTAGAACACACCGTATTGTCAGCAGGAAGCTTGTCTCTATAGCGACGAGTGTATCCTCATCCACCATGGCCACCGCCAACGATTCCTTTTCCAACCAGTCCTCCTGGGGACCCCTCGAGACATTGCAGGCATTCCCAAGCCCATTGGAGAAGCCAGTACCATACTTCATCACAGCTTTCTTGCTATTCGTCTTCTACTTCTCTATACAGCAAGCAGAGCAGGCGCCTCACACAGATCTGCCGATTGTCAACCCTAAGCACAAGTGGGATTTTACCGGGCTAAAAGTCAAGTATGACTTCATCACAAAGGTCCGGAATATCGTGTTGGAGAGGGCGAAAACAAACCCCGATGAGGCCTACCAGGTCTTGACGGACATGGGAGATATGACGATCCTTCCCGCGGTACCCTTTGCCAACGAGATTCGCAACCACGAGGACCTCAGCTTCGACCGCGTTCTTGATAAGGTAGGTATTCTCATTCGACAAGTTGTGTAGCCCATATTGATTATGGTGTAGAACTTCCATGCCCAGATGCCCGGCTTTGAGCCTTTGAAGGAGAATAACGCGCAAAAGTCCGTCCTCAAATACGTTATTCGCACAAGATTGACCCAGTTCCTTTGTGAGTCAAGGCATTGCTTCACCGATACCCATCACCCAAGCTAACATACCCGCAGCAAAGCTGACATCTCCCGTTTCCGACGAGACAACGCTGTCATTGACCGACGTTTTGGGAGAGGATAAGGGTAAGAACCCCAGTTTAGTGGCACTGGGATAGCCTGCTAACAGAACACAGAATGGTCCACCGTGGTAATCAAGGAGAACATGCTCAAGGTCGTAGCCCGAGTGTCCACCCGCGTCTTCGGCGGCGAGCAACTCTGTCGCAACCAGGATTGGATCAAGATTACCTCCGAATACGCCCGAACCAGCTTCCTCGCCTCAGAGTTTCTCCGAATGTTCCCCAAGTCTCTACGTAACCTTGCCCACCAGGTCCTTCCCATCTGTCGTCAACTCCAAGCGCAAGTCAAGGAGGCCAGAGAGATCATCAACCCCATTGTGGAGGAGCGCCGCAAGGAAAAGAAGGCAGCTTTGGATCGCGGCGAGGAGGAGCCTGAGTGGAATGACTGTCTTGACTGGTGTGAGGAAGCATCCGACGACGCCAAATCGGACCCTGCGATGATGCAGCTTGGACTTTCTTTCGCCGCTCTCCACACCACCTCTGATCTGATCACCCAGGTGATGCTCGACCTCGCCAAGTACCCCGACTACTTTGAGCCGCTTCGCAAGGAAATTACCGACGTTATTCGCACCGATGGCTGGGCTCGCATGGGTCTCTACAAGATGCGCCTCCTGGACTCCTTCTGCAAGGAGACTCAGCGTCTTCACCCCATTGGCATCGGTAAGTTTCCGCTTGACCTCCCTGATAACTATCACTAATATCAATCTTGTCTAGTTGCCATGCACCGTGAAGCCACCAAGCCCGTGACCCTCTCCAACGGACTGGAACTCCCTGAGGGCAGCCGCATCGCTGTCAGCTGTCAAAGAATGACCGATGGCTCCGTCTACTTGGACCCCAGCCGCTTTGACGGATACCGTTACCTGCGCATGCGCGAGTCCCTTGGCGCCGGAAACGATGGAGCCGCGCACTTTGTTAGCACCTCGCCCGAGCACCTTGGTTTCGGCCACGGTCAGCACGCCTGCCCTGGACGTTTCTTCGCCGCCAACGAGGTCAAGATTATTCTCTGCCACCTCCTTCTCAAGTACGACTGGAGACTGGCGGCTGAGCAGCAGCCCAACACAATCAACTTTGGATTCACTATGGAGGTTGACCCCAAGGCCAAGCTCGAGATCCGGCGGAGGACTGGCGACTTGGGCCTCAAGGCATGAGGGGGTTCCGTGCGCGGCGGTTGGGGACACACGCATCCTCGGGCATACTTGCATGTGTGATTTATTTCTGGTAAGGCATGCATTTGCTGGGTTTCACTGGGCTCATGTAATCAAGGTCGGACGATGGTCATAGCAATGAGCCAAACAAATTGGATTAGCTAGGCGTTGAATGCATTCTTTGAATCAGGATATCACCATTTGAACCCGTTCCCTCGTGAAAGACCTGATAAATTGTCGACTCCGTCAAGGGTGTTGATAACAATTTCTTGCCCAGTTGTTCGAAAATGAGTTCCAATACCGAGTAGCCTACCAGGAGGCACAACCTAATCAAATCACAACATGGTATCGACCGATTCTTGTTGGAAACATCATCCCACCTCCGGTCTGCTTCTCGGATTCACACAAGGATTCATCCTGTCTACGGCCCGCAAGCAAGTCTTTTGCCACGTTGCGCCGACCGGCTCCCTGTTCCGTCAGTTGGACCTCTCAAATACCCCGAAATTCGACACAGTTTACTGGTTTTTGGGCCCCCGTCTGAAGCCATGAAAGGGAGGTCGTCAGTGCATTAACCTTACGCATGATTTGGATGATCGTGTCGCCTCGTTAGACGATCAGCGTCCAGCCGTTGACGCAAAACGTTGGCAACGGCAGCCTTTTCTCGTCAACCGCCATCTTTCTATGGTTCTAGATCATCTGAGCCCCGCGCCTCTTCCATAGTCCTGAGTTTCGAGTAATATGGCCGAGGCAATCTTGACATAGCGCCTCGGGGGCCGATCTACAACGATGCTCGACTTATTCTTTCCATTCACTTCGAGAGAAACTTTCAATCTTGAGGACTAGCTGCAGACTTTCCCGGTCCGTAGCATAACTTGCCCTGCTTGTCTGAAGTATCACACCCAGTTCATATCGTCCTTGAACCGTCTGATGCAGAGCTGCTTGGAAATGGCCCTCCCTCTCTGCTAAAGGGGCCGTTTTCGCAAGCCTTCACCAGCTTAACTTAGAAAAACGTGGGGAGGGCGGAGAAATGACTTCTAAAAGTGGAAATTTAGGAGAACCACGTCTGAGAGTAACGATCTCGTTCAACGGGATGTCAAGAAGCCAAACAAGGGAATGCATTACACTTTTGATCGTACTATGACTGCTAGACGCAATCTAATAACCTAAATCAGAAGACCTCTGAGCGATTCCATCTGTTTCAACTCCTCCAGCAGGTCCGTAAAGTCTTTGACTCCGTGCTTTTCGCTCATCTCTTTGAAATACGGCAGTTGCTGCTTGAGCCACGCCTCCTCGTGGCCAGCGTCGGGAATAGCCATCCCGCCCTCCCTGATCGCCAACATCGGCGTAAACACGACCATCAAAAGCCGTTTTGCCTCATCAAACTCGGCCTCTTTACCCGGCTCTTTGACAGCGCCGTTCCAGGCGTCTTCGATCTTGGCTGCCAGTCCGTCAAAGTCATCTTTCGTGCGAGAAGCCGACGTTCGAACTAGCGCAACGATGCGGTTCGAGTTGCTGGTGTGCGACTTTCCGGCCATGAAGTACGTTCCATCATCGGACTTTGGCTCTTGTTTGATGAAGTTGACATGGACGAAAAAGGCGGGTGTGCTAAAGGTGCTACAATGGAGATTGGTGATGGACAGCGCAATGGATTCCCGCTGCTTCTGGGCAAGAGGATAGGTATGGTAAATTTGGTAGAAAGGCATGATATAGACGCGCTGATCAAAGACTGAAGTGTATCAACGGTGTAGTGTTCAGTGCTGAAGATCAAATAAGGGTATCAGACTTCCGATAATAACACTCTTCAGCGATGCATCGAATGAAGGGATTGACAGGTCTTTATTTCTCGTCAGCACCTCAATATCATTGATAACCCTAGACTTGAGCTAGATCAGTAATCTGATTACATCTTATGAGGGGTCTTGAACGTCGAAGCGTGTATATCGACGTCACAACCATCTACTTTGCGGGGTAACACGACCTAGGTCGCTCTACAGCTACATGCAGATCCCGCCGGCCGATCCCGACGCAGGCCGGTCAGTCGGGGACTAGCACGAGACATAATCCTAAGGGTACAGGCGGCGACCCGCAGCCACTGGGCGAAGAATACCTTCCTTCTCAAGATCACTAACCAGACTCGCAAGATGATGATCGCATCCCCTGGCCATTCTCAAAGCCATAGTCACTGGGAGATATTCCGTGTGCAGCGACTTGGTGCTGTTGTAAGGAACCTCTCCGATTGGAACCACTACTTCCGGTGCGCCGGCCATGACCGGGACTGAAGAGTCGTCAAAGCCCAGCGGCGGTATAGTTCGGGCCTGGATGTATACATCGCGATAGGATGGCTGGCCCACAGACCAAGGATAGATGTAGAGTCCCTCAGAGCATGACTCGGGATCATGTCGCCCATAACCCTCAGTTTCATACCAAGATCTGAAGAGGGAAATGTTGTGAAGACCTTGTGCGTAGACTTCTTCTGTCGAATGGATCTGGCCCCATTGCCATCTGGCGAGGGGTCCTGGGTTGATATATGGCTGACGCCCATCAAACTTGGCTGCGTAATCCTCGAAGAATGGCTTGCCGAGTTCTTGCCACTGATCATGAGAGACATAGACGCCGTAGGTGAGGTACAGCATCTCGTTGACATCTGCAGGTGCTTCTCCGTGAGTTTCGCTCCAGAGCTGCGTGTAGTTTGCTGGAGTTGACTTGGCTTGTAGGAAGCTTTCTAGCTTTCCTACGAAGTTTGTGATGACCTTGTTGGCGTCCTCGCTGACGTTTCCTCCGGACCAAGCGCCTCCTCTAGCCGTTGATCGGTATAGTGTCGTCGGGTAGGAAGTGTAGTTGGAAGCAAAGTCAGGGTACCAAGCCTGGGTGACCTTGGCCCAGAGGCTGCCACTGCGGGCGAACATTCCGGCGGTATCTGAGACGGGACTCAAGGGGATGACATTCACGAGGGAGATGGCGCCCGTAGAAGGCCGGTTTCCGAAGAGGCCTTGCGATCCCGCTGGACCGCGCATGGAACCACCAGTGTCGCTGCCGACAGCAAGATCAAGCCAGTCGTACGCACCTACTCCAGCTCCCGGGCCGGTGGACGAGCCGCTGGGGTCCTGATACCCGTCACCTCTGGGGTTGAAGGGGGCATGGAGATCAACCCAGTCAGCAGTGGGACGATCACCATTGGCAAACTGGACAGTGCCCATCTTGCCAACGAGGACAGCACCAAGGTCGATGAGCCGTTGCACTGCTGGTGCAGTCTTGTTTTGTCGTCCATACAGGTAGAAGTAAGCACGATTTCCACCACTCGTGCCTACCCCCTTGACGTGGAAAATGTCCTTGACTCCGAAGCGGAGGCCGGCGAGGGGTTGCTCCTCGGTCTCAGTATAATACAACCGCGAAGGGACCGCGATGCTCTTTGCCATTACATTCTCAGTAACAGCAGGAAGAGTAGTGAAAGCGCCCTCTTCATCGCTAATTACGCCTTGTACAAAAGCGAGGTGATCATCATCGTACAGCCGGTAGGCTTTGTACACGTTTCCAGTGTGGACCGAGACGAAGTTGGGTCCTCGAGGGAGACTCAAGACGGTTACGCCAGTCGCGACGCTACTTTTAAGGCCATGGATCTCCTTGGATGATAGAACCAAAGAGGTGCCATGACGTGATAGTTGGGAGTCAAGAGACATAGTACCGTTGGGCCCAACGGGAGCATTGGTTGTGCTTGGGCGGAGATAGATCGCATGTAGAAAGGCACATTGAAAGACGTCATCCGAGCTATCGTAAGCGGTAGTAAGATTCAGAAGCTCATCCCCTGAAGGGACGCTGCTCGAAGTGTCGATAATGGTCAGCGGGAACAGGTCCTGACCGGGAATCTGTGCAGCTGCAAGCGAGAGACTCGAGGCGTTTGTAGTCTCTATTTGGCCCACAGCAATCCCGCCGGCATAGTATGAGATGCCATGAAGACTCAACACTTGGCCCTGGTTGACGTAGTTGGCGCTGGCTAGGCGGAAAGAAGCCAATATGAAAACGAAGGACCACATTCTATGACAAGCACAGCTGCGAGCTGGTGACCGTTGCTGGTAAATCCCGGTGCAGTAACGCCGGCACTTGCCCTTCTACTGGGCAACATCGCGACCTGAGTAACTGTCTTATATGTGAGTAATATCACACAAACTCTTCCAAGGGATTCAACCACATCATTTCTGTGTGTCACCAACCTTCTGACTATCAAGAACATCAAGATGATAACCCGACGTCGATAAGACGCCGGCCATCCCTTATCAAAACTTGAGAATCCGGCTTTGAAGAATAGCGTCTTTTAGTGCCGAGAGCGGCCCCAACCTCTCCACATGGTCGGGTCCGAACCCCTGGCTGTGAACGGAGGTAATGGTCTTTATTTCCACGCAGAGTGACATTCTGGCTGTCGGCCAAGGACGACATGGTGCCGATTGTCAGCAAACCACATTGGCGCAGCTCCGCCGCTGTCATCCGTGATGTGCAATTGGTCGCATGAGCATCGGGGTAAACCCCAACATCCAAGGTGCTTTTCGTTGCATATGATGTCTAGGAGGAATTCTTGAGATAAGAGGGAAGCGAGACCGATCGCCGGATCAAGGCATTGGACGGAGGCTCTGATACGTAAAGCTAGTAACTACAAGCCTGGCAGATTAGACATGCTACCGAGATGATCGATCATTGGGGCTGGCCCATAAGTGCGTGTTAGTCTTTTAGTAACCACAAGTTTGAGGATAGTCCGATAGCGGGCGGTCCCATCAATCATCAACGATTACCAATTTGCTTTGCACTGAGATGAATTTACACAGTCCTCTTTCAAACTTCCCGTCACCCCATTTTCCACGTCTCAGACTCATTTGCAAGGTTGCGCGACCGCATGCTCCAGTATCCGCCGTCTCCCCCCTAAGTCCGAGTAGCAAGATCAGAGGCAGACCTTGTGATTTTGTAAATCTGATGGTCACAATTTTCATCATGGATGTGCTCTTCCACAGGATGACATTCCGCAATGTTGTGTTTGTGTTTCAAGCAGGGGAGCTGTCGACCACCGTGGTTGTTCTGCGGGCAGTACTTTGAGTCGTTCTTCAATCGCCAGAGAACAGACTCGTGGAGAACAGCATCTTTGGGAATGTCTCGCGTGCTGCCTTTGTTGAGCGGGAAACGAACATTTTCCCAGCCACTGTCCTCAAGCTCCCACCGAGTGATGAAAGGCAGCCATTCTGTTGGATGAAGTCAGTATTGTTGTATAGAGGCCATAGATGAAACTTGATCTTACCCATGAGCTTCCACAGGAGCACGCGGAAGAAGCTTGTACCTCGGCCATACGCCAATGAATCGTGGATGACACCCATCGTTGCCTTATCCTTCTTCTTTGCAAATCGCTTCTCAAATACTTCGAGGTTCTCGCGCCATTTCAGTGCCGCAACTTCCTCTCTTTGGCCGACAAGCTTCACCTCGCGGATCATCCAAGCAAGCGGAACATCACTCAATTGGAGCCGGTCGCAACCCAAAGCCTTGCTGGCTGCCTTCTCCTTCCGTGTCGTCCAAAAGTTCTTGACGCGCTCCCAGAAGGTCATCTCGATGCCATTGTCGAGCTTGCTTTCAGCAGACGCAGGCCACCCACCACCAACGTCACCGTGGCAGCCCGGGAACCAGACCTCCTTGATGTCTTCATGGTTGTGGTCTGACTCCTTCATGTCTTGGGCCAGGAGAGCTGCCTTGAACTTGACGCGTCGCTCGTCGACTGCTACAGCATGGCGCACATGGTGAGCAGTGCCAACAACAGGCACGGGTACCGGTGCAGTTCGCTCCAAGACAGCGACGGAGTTGACGCAGTCCCAGATGCCGAGGAAGAAGACCTTGATGTTGGACTCCTCCATCTTCCCACAGTGCATCGCCTTCTCCTTGCGGCAGAATGTGTCGCTGAAGGCGGCAATCTCGTCCCTAGCGACTGCGTACTTCGCCCCATGGGTTGCCGGGTCCTCATCATCGCGATGACCCTCATGCAACGGCTCTTCGTCTTCTAGCTCAGGTGGCGGTGTCGGTACATCTCCATTGGCGGGAGCTTTTTTGTTCTTCTTGTGCTTCTTCTCCTTCTTGGACCTCTTGGGGTGGGACACAATGAAGTCTTCGACCTCCCCAGCCAAGTAGCGCTGGTAGAGACGGTACGCGAAGGGGACCATCTCCTCGTTTCCCTTGCAAAGTAGCCCAACTGTATGAACCATGCGAGCAAGGAACTTGGCAGTGAAGGCGCCACGGCTAAATCCAAACATGTAGATCTTGTCACCCTTTAACGCACATTTGTTAGTCGTCAAGTTCCTCGCCATGCCAGGTAGGTAAGGACTTAGACGTACAGAATCATAGTAACGCATCAGGAACCGGTAGCCAGCCATAACGTGAGCATCGAAAGTCGTTCCGATTCCTTGGTCGATGGTCTGCGAGATGGAAGATTTGAATTCGCCAATTACACCCTTGTTAACAGACTCATCATTGATGTCGTATGTGCCGATGCCAGCTAGGCGAGTACATCTGTCAGCGGTAAAACAGTTGAGAGCGTGCTGGTACCAACTTACTCTGGTAGTAATGGTACTGATCAGGATCGTTGCGATCGAGTTTACTCAGAATCTTGACCACATTTGTGTCGGAGTTGGAACCGGTGAAGGTGTTGCCGGTGCCGTCAAAGCACAGAACTAGCTTTCTGGGAGTTCTCTTCTTTTCTGACTCGTGATTGGCATTGCCATTGAGGGTAGAAAAGTCGGCCATAACGACTCTGCGAAAGGAAGGAGGCAACTGAGTATAATTGATGTGGTGGATACTCAATAGAATTGGACTTGTATGCGAGAATAGGGTTGATTGCAAGCCAGAAAAGCTAAACTGGGCTTCATCCGTACCACTGGCAAGTGCCAAAGGCCTCGATATATGTCTTTACATATCGACACCTGAGGACATGTTCGACCATCTGCACGTTCAGCAACTCCCTGGTAATCATCGCAGCGCAGCCGTCAGGTTGCCAATCAAGCCTAAAGCGCGGCATTTCTCGCCAGGTACAGTACTAGAGAATATTGTCTCAAGGCGGCCGAGGGGCGGCGATCATGTTCATCTAGCTTTCATAGGGAGGGGAGAGTACGTCACCACGTCTCACGACATGGGACACGGCATCTGTTCGTTCAGTTCAAAAAGACTTGTTCGTGGCTTCGATGCGGCACCGAGACACTCGAACTAATACCGGTAGTAGCACGAAGCCACCGATAGTCAACCTTTTGCAGATCGGTTATCTATACTCGTGCTTTCAATACAGACTGATTTCCTATTCATCCCCATACCATTTGCCGTACAGACCATTTCACCGTGGGAATAGAAACCAGGAATTGCCTTAATTAAGGCTAACAGTCCGCTAGGGACAATGCTCCCTAGTTAAAGAGTAGAGCGGTTGTAACGATTCTTTCTGATTCGCAAATCAGTCCAGCATCGACCAGCAAGGGAAGTCAACCAGTCACCAGTGGCATGTAGTGATTCACCCATGAGCCGATGGTGTCACGCAACGGGCGGACGGATAACTAGCATCCGGGGCGGAATGTCTGTCCACTTTCGACCTGTCGTGCCCCCTGAGACCTCAGCGAGCCGCCCAATACGGAGATATTTCTCATGATGGCTGAGACTGATATGCGATGAAATGCCACCGGTGAACGCTATGTTGCGGTGAGGGCCAGATTTGTTCGTATCAGGCCAGGACAGCCCAGACATGAAGCCAAGCCACCTTTGCCCTAATTTGCTCCTGCGGTAAGGCCAAGAATGATCTGCCGTGTTAGCGAACATTGACCAATAGCGTTGTAGTAAATGAATCTGAATTCATCTGCGGTGAAAGCTCAAAAAGCTCTGCTTTGCGGGGAAAGCATATCAGATAGTATGTCTCAGACCAATCGTAGAGACATGCCCTCAACTCACATGAAATGTCTTGCCTCGTACTGTCCTGTACGACATGCCAGCAACAGGCGATCGGCATGTCATGTACCCTGTCGGCGATCTCCGTCTTCCAATGAATGAGGTTAGAATACTCATCATGTCCGAAATCCTGCAGGCGGTGCGGCCCGTCCGAAGGACGTTTGGAGCCGTTTGCACCAGCGTGCTACTTCGGGCATCAAACATCACACCCGGCCGATGTCTTTGCTTTTCTTGTGCGGCTGCGGAATGCTCCCTTTCCCCTCACCTTCGGAATTGCCCCCCGCCTGCTGACCGACATAACACAGCGCTAGATATGTCTCACGAGTGACAGCCCATGGCAAGAAGCGACGCTCCTACTCAGTTCTCAACCTCCACCATCTCAACCTCCTCCAAGCACAACGAGTCTGCCAAACTCACGGTTTGCGACGTGAACCTCAATCATGACTGGCTCCCTGTTAACATCCTCCCCTCACTTCAGGGCGCCACAATCTGCATGTCTCCGGCTGGCATAGGAAACAGGCACGACAGGCAATGCTGGCATTTTGGCTCCAGACATGTCGACGATGTGTCTCAGTCATTCTACCGCATTGGGAGGGTTTTTTCAGTACGGTTTCACATTCCACCTTGTATTCGAGGTCGAACGGAAATGCCTCGGTGCGCCGGCATACCCTTCGTGCTCATGCAGATCCGCAGTGAACATCCGTTTGACTGGACGCCACTCAAGTCTCCATCATGAAGTGAGGGGATCTTGGAAATCTCGAGGTGAGGGGGTATTTTGTATCTCTTGGCCAAGCGGTCAGCAGATATGGGTGCCATTTGATTGAGTGTTGAGATTGATATATGAGTACCATAGCAGAGCCTCTTGGTGTGGGCCATGGAGTCACGAACCTCACTTCTCATCCGCTTCCCCTCATCTATCACCCTTATACTCTGAGGCAGCGGGTGAATCATGGCTACCAACTTTACTCAGAAATTCCAGGCTGGAGAGTCTTATGGAGATGCGCGCCAAGACTCGGCTAACTTCTTCAATGACCCGGCGAAGATTGCAGCTGATATCCTGAAGGACTATGTCTCCGTACGCGGTCAAACCTCCCCGGCGGAGCTTGTCGGCCTCATCAAAGAGCTCCTCTCGAAGGGCGAGCCTCTTGATGATAAGAAAGGGTAGGAACGACCACCAATGAGCTTGATATGGCCCAATTCTAACGTCAAGCAGAACAACCGAGATCCTCATTGGCATTCTTACATCTCTGCCTGCCACGTCCAAGGCCAGGACAATGCTCACCAACAAGCTCATTGACACATTATGGGGAAATCTTCAGCATCCCCCACTGAGCTATGTCGGTGGTGACATCAAGTACGACGCTCTCAATGAAGAAGGCGTAGTCCTCGACAGCAACGGACAGCCACAGACAAAGGAGCCTCAAGCAACAGACTCGATCGAGTTCACTGCTCCTGGCACCAATATCCGTCTTCGCGAACAAGTACCGCAGGCGCCTGACGGCTTGCACCACTACCGCTCTCCCGATGGCAGTTTCAACAACATCCTCGAGCCAAATTTGGGCAAGGCTGGAACGCCTTACGCCAAGTCGGTCAGGACGTCCAAGAGACTTCACGGCGTCAAGCCTGACCCGGGTCTCCTGTTTGACCTGTTGATGGCTCGTGACGAGGGGTCTTTCAAGGAGAACCCGGCCGGTATCTCTTCGATGCTGTTCTACCACGCCTCTATCATTATTCACGACATCTTCAGAACCAACCGGACCGACATGAACAAGAGCGACACATCATCTTACCTCGACTTGGCACCCTTGTACGGCTCATCTCTCAAGGACCAGCTTGAGATCAGAACGATGAAGGAAGGAAAACTCAAGCCTGACACATTCCACGAGAAGCGTCTCCTTGGACAGCCCGCGGGAGTCAACGTCATGCTGGTCATGTACTCTCGTTTCCACAACTACGTTGCCGATATCCTGCTCAAGATCAATGAGAACGGGCGCTTCACACTGCAAACCAAACCCAACGCCACCGACATTGAGAAGGCCAAGGCTGTTGCCAAGCAAGACCATGACCTCTTCAACGTGGCACGTCTCATTGTGGGTGGTCTCTACATCAACATCTCGTTGCACGACTACTTGAGAGCCATCACCAACACGCACCACTCCAAGAGCGACTGGACCCTCGACCCTCGCGTTGAGATTAACAAGCAATTCGACAGCGATGGCGTGCCCCGCGGCGTTGGCAACCAAGTCAGTGTCGAGTTCAACCTGCTGTATCGCTTCCACTCCTGCATCTCCAAGAAGGATGAGAAGTGGATCGACGGGTTCTTTGGTAAGATCTTCAAGGGCAAGCAGCCTGCGGACCTCCAAAACATCAGCATCGAGGAGCTTGGCAAGGCCTTCGTTGATTACGAGCAGTCAATCCCCAAGGACCCAAGTGTTCGCACCTTTGACGACCTGAAGAGACAAGAAGACGGCACCTTCAAGGACGAGGATCTGGCTCGTATCCTCAAGGAGGCCATGAACGACCCGGCTGGATGCTTCGGTGCTCGCATGGTGCCCAAGGCCCTCAAGATCATCGAGGTTCTGGGTATCAACCAGGCGCGCAGGTGGCAGGTCGCGTCGCTGAACGAGTTCCGAGAGTTCTTTGGCTTGAAGAAGTATGACAAGTTCACCGACATCAACTCCAACCCCGATATTGCCAGCCTCCTTGAGAAGCTCTACACCGACCCTGACATGGTCGAGCTTTACCCTGGTAAGCTCATTCTGACAGAAGTTCATCCTTGAGACATATTTAACGCATCACAGGGCTCATGATTGAGGACATCAAGCCGGTACGCAACACTGGCAGCGGTATCTGCCCGACATACTCTGTCGGCCGAGCTGTCCTCTCTGACGCCGTGACTCTTGTCCGCTCAGATCGCTTCAACACCATTGACTACACCGTTAGCAACCTGACGGCATGGGGTTTCAACGAGGTCCAGCAGGACTACAAGACCCTCGGTGGCTCGATGCTGTACAAGCTCATCCAACGAGGACTGCCCAACTGGTTCCCCTACAACTCGGTAGCCGTCATGCAGCCCATGTACACCAAGAAGATGAACGAGACCATTGCAAGGGAGATTGGCACCTTCCACCTCTACACCTTGGAAGACCCAACACCTCCACGTAAGGCCATCATCACCCAATCAAGCGGGGCCATCAAGTATGTCTTGAGCAACCCTAAGCAATTCGTCTTGCCGTGGCTCCGGCCTCTCGAGGCCATGTTCACGAATTCCAAGCGGGACATCAGCTGGTTCATGCTCGCGGGTGACGAGCAGAAGAACTACCAACACCGCATCAACATCAAGAAGGCGCTCAGCAAGATTCCGACTCTGCACAACGCGATCCACGAGTTCATCGACCGCGTGGGCGCAGAGCTCGTCAAGAAGGAGACGTTCAAGATGAAGGAAGGCCTGCACCAGATGGACATCATCCGCGATGTTGCCATCCCCTTGAACGCTCAGCTTCTTGCTGACCTCTTCTACTTTGATCTGCGCACTGACGAGAACCCTGGTGGTACCCTTGGCCATGCTGAGCTCTACAACCATTTGCTGAATGTCCGTATTTGGGGAGTCAATGACAACGACCCAGCTCAGTCATGGAACCGTCGCCGCCGCGCGATTGAGAGCGTCAACGTTATTATCGAGTCGACGGCTGGCCCCGTCAAGGAGGTCCATGCCGGTCGTGGCCTTGGCTTTGGAATCGCCAACGCCATCTCCAGCGCGGTCGGTCGCAGGGCCAACTTCAAGAAGGATTCGCTGCGGTCGTGCGGCTACAAGTTTGTCGAGGAGCTCTTGGCGCAAGGAAACTCGGTCGATCAAGTCGTCGACAACATGTGGCTGACTGCTTTCGGCGGTATCGGTGTTCCTGTTACAACTGTAAGCCTTGCCCCTCTTTAACCACGGCGAAGATATCATGGACTAACCTTTGCTCCAGTTCTACGAAGTGTTGTCGTTCTTCTTGCGCCAAGAGAATGCCTCCATCTGGGCAGAGGTACAAAACCTAGCACAGAACAAGGACGACGCAGGACTCCACGCCTACGTCCGCGAGGCACAGCGTCTCACCAGCGGGCAGCGTAACGTGCGTGTTGCGACGGCACCGGCCGAGATCGACGGCAAGCCAGTCCAGCCGGGCACTGCAGTCGTGATGCTTCTTGTGAGTTTACTCTGTCCGCCCGTTATCTGATCATGTGCTGACAATGATCTTCTTTCCTAGGGCGGCGCTGGGCGAAACCCAGGGGAGATCGCCAACCCCGACAAGTTCGACGCGAACCGCAAGGCCGAGGAGGTTTCTGCCTTCAGCTACGGCCAACATGAGTGCTTGGCCAAGGACATTGCCACGACTTTCGTGGTGGGACTCGTCAAGCTCGCGGCTGATCTCAAGCAGCTGCGCCCGGCACCGGGCCAGATGGGCATCGTCAAGACCATCCAGGTCGGCAGCGAAAAGGCGTACCTGAACGACAGTTGGTCGTACCTTGGCTTTGATGCCAGCAGTAAGTGCACTCTTGAAGTTGCATGCAATCGTTTGTTTCTCAAAGAGCAATGCTAACAATCCGGACAGCCTGGAAGGTTCACTTTGATGGCCATGGAAAGGGCACATACAAGGGCGATGCTGCTGCACCAAATAACCAGATTGACTTGGGACAGTACTACTACCTTCTCAAGCAGCGCAAGGAGAACTTGCTCAGTGGCCTCGGTGGACCGGCCAGCATCCGTGCTCAATGAGCGAGGATTGCTCCATTGTCTTCAAACGTTGAGAAGGTCAGGTCAGATTGACAAAGGCATCGCCATGGGTTGACGATTGAGTATTACTCGCGGCGAAGACATGTAAGGGCATATTCTGAGCAAGAATAAAACAAAGTTTCCCACAGGCTTTACTTGGTGATTGTGTAAATCCACCAATTAATTGGGTCCCCCACACTTCCGGAAGCCGAGCAGAAATGATGCTTTTCCCTAGCTGTTGGCGTCAGCCGGTGCGCATCAGAGTTTCGGGTAATCGTAGTTAGCGGACTTACCTTAACTCAAAACGCTGCACCTGGAGCTCGGTCTTTGACGATTGTCAGCAATTGAGTTTAACAATCTCACAGCTTGTCAATCGAACCGCTTGTCGTAAGAATGAGCCAAGGACTAGTTTTCGAGATACGACTCTGAGGCTGAAAGGGTGCAGGAAATGCTAGCCGTCATCCGAATGAGGCAAGGAAAAGGCGAGAACCCTCAAGACGGGACTTCAGGGGAAAGTAGCGGAGATCGCCCTTGGCCGCTTGGCCAACGCCCAGTCTCCGTGAATCGTGGGGATTTCCTCCGGGAGACAACCATGCAAGCTCCCCATTCTGAGTACCGAGAACTGTGTACATTACCACTGCGTGCCCATGCCTCGCGAATAGAGGAACACTACTGATGAGACTGGGTCGCAAACGGAGTAGGGATTCTCGTATTGCCCCCTCGTTGACTGATTCTGTCGTTTCGGACGACTCCTGATGTGCTGCCAGTTCGTCCTGTGTCATCATCGCCTATCCACTTTGGCACTTTGTCAGCTCGAATCAATTTCGCTTGACACCGAACATGGAGTAGGGGCTTTGTGTGTTGTGTGTGTGGTGGTTCCAGTGGAGACAAAGGGGGCAACATTTCGCCGTACTGATGGGCACAGATGGCGCCTATTTCTGTTAGTCTCCGCGGCAAGTTGATTAAACTCGCGCGTCACGTTAATTGCCGTTGGGTTACTGTTGGCCTCTTACACGGCAACACGGCCCCCAACATGGCCAGCGCGTGCCTGTTTCCGAGGAGTATCATCCGTAGAGGAATGCAAAGTTTTTGCATCACACAGCAGTAAATCTGCTGCGTCACGTCCGTTGATGGCCAGCCAAGAAAGTCAAAATAAGCGTATAGCCTACCAAAACAGATACTTAAACGCCGCTTCTATAGGGTAGACACGAGACAGCTTCAATTTAGACGACCATCGATTAGTAACCCGCACCGACTTTGACTGAACCATTCCAGAGACTCAGTGTCATGTCATCTCATAGTAATTGGTCTCCGTCTCGTAAGGTGCATACGGATACTGTTTGTGGAGGCAATCTGGGCTACTCCGTCGAAGCCGTCCACAGGGAATCCCTGATCTAAGAACAAAAGGGCCCAGAGTTGTTACACCAGGCGCCGGCAACGTCCTCCGGGTCCATCAACCGTACATGTAGATCTCGCCAAAACGGGAAATACGCACTCGACTCCTGGCCCACGGATTTAGTGATCTCTCAAAGAGGAGCGAAAGCGAGCCAACATGTCCTACTGTAGTCTGTAATACTCCGTATGCCTGTAACCCTGCGTGTCCCGCGTCTGTCCAGCCCATTCGTAGTATCAAACCCACTAAAAAGCTGTATCGTTGAAACATTGCTGGATCCAGAGGCGAGAAAACCCATTTCGAGATGATATGAACCGCTATGGCAACTGTAAGTTTGGATGATTCCACCAATAAGGCAGCGTGGGTACATCATCACTGAAGCTTGTATATAAAGAAAGAAGATTAGCCTCTCTCGGCATTCGATCAGCCATTCGCAGCCCATTTCCAATTCACAAACAGTCATTCTTTTCACTTCACCAACTACCAACATTCACTTCTATCTTCCATCCACTATCACCGCCAAGATGCCTTCCACCACCCAGATGCTCTCCGCCCTGGCCGTCACGGCCGTCGCCGGCGTCCAGGCCGCCATGGGCCCGGCCTTCAGCACCGGTCCCGTCGCCTCCGACTCCTTCATCCGCGAAGCCACCTCCACCCTCGTCCTCCCCGCCGCCCCTTCCAACAACAAAGGCAGCGCCTCCCTCTGGGTTGGCATGGGCACCTCCAACGGCGACCTGATCCAGTCCATCGCCGACAACTCCAACTACGACAACACCGGCACCGACAAGTGGTCCATCTTCGCCTACACTCTTCTCAGCACCGGTGCCAACTCCCAGATGCCTGTTCAGACTGAGGGCACCGACGCCTCTGAGGGTGACAAGATCACCATGCACTGTAAGCTGCTCTCTTGAGGTTGATGAGGTTGTGGCTTGTTGCTAACGGAAAATCAACCTACAGACAAGTTCGATGATGCCTCCCAGAACTACACCCAGACCGTCTCCATCAACGACAAGGTCGTCGCCACCCTGTCCACCAAGGACGGTGAGGCCCAGGGCTGGGGCAGCGCCGTTGAGTGCGCCGCCGAGGACTGCGGCACCGTTGGTGCTCACTGTAAGTCCACATCCACTATAATTTCCATTTCTCCCAAACACCGAATCAGTGTGCTGACAATGACCTCCAATAGCCTGGATCAACACCAAGATCATCCTCGACAAGGCCGACGCCAACTACATCAACACCATGGGCAAGGGCAACGGCGTCACCGGCGACATGTCCACCAGCGACGGCGGCAAGACTTGGACCGTCACCACCATTGATATCCCCGAGTTCACCTTTGGACAGTAAATGTGCTAGGCCACTTCAAGAGCTGAGCTCGTTTGCCTCCGGAAGGGAAAGGTTTTTTCTTGTACTTTATACCATGTCTTCACACACGCATCGCTGTACATATGTAGTACCCTGCTAGCCAAGATACCAAGTTGCGACTGTAAAATAACAAAAGCTTTAATGATCAACCATGTAACTTGCCCATCTCTGACACCATCGAATCACTCATCTCGCAAAAGCCTTTGCAATACGTGGATACATGTTGTCACCCAGTCATTGCCCATATATGTACAGAGGGTCTGCAATGATGATTCTTTGAAGTCCTCAAATGCGATTCTTGCTCTCAGTTTGTACTTCTAGTCTCCTGACTCGTTGCCACCATTTGTGCTTCGCTACTGTCGAAACCCCATCGTGAATCTGCGTGATCCCCAGATGTTTCTGCCAGTGCAGGTCATAGGTCCAGCTCATTCTCCTCCACGATGCTTAATCCTCCATTCGAACATGCTACATTCCTTCGGCCTTCATGATGTGTTCCAGTAGCAGAGCAATGAATGGTTTTGCGGCTTTCTCACGCGAGAGACGGATTCCCCATTTGAAGAGGCCTTCGAAGACCTCTCAATAACTCCCAAGAAATATCAATGTTCTTGACCTTGGCATTGAAGAGCCCATCGAAGTCGTCTTCGGAATCATCCGTCTGGTGATGATGCACGCGAGACTTAGCCAAGAGAGATCTCGTCAGTACGAGGATTGATGTAGATGCAATCCACGCCCGGGACCGGGAAAGCCGCGGCGTTTCTTCAACGCAAATATCCAGCCGCGTTCTACGCAAGAGGCGATCACAGGTGAAATTGCGCCGGTTGATCTTTCTGCAAGCGGGAAGAACGTTAGCTTTTACTGTCATTTGGAGAGAGAGAGGGCCTTCGGCGAGAAGTTGACATACCTGAGTCATGCTGCCCTTCTTCGAGCACCTCTGTTTGAACAAGAGGAACTATCCTTGAGCCAAAGCCAGCCTGTCTTTGGAGATCATTTGAAGTAGGCTGTGGAGCGCATAGTGATGATGATGCTTGGAGCAAAAGATGGATCCACAGCAACACATGTGAGGGGTTTCCCACCACATCATGTGCATGCTGTCCTTGAATTAGGCTAGTGCCTGCATTCATGGCTGAAGTTTTGAACATGTTTCGAGATTCTTCGTCTCAGTGATTGGAATCGCCTGGCAGAGGCAGATTGTAGTCATCGAGCACATGGGCGAGGCGATGAAGGCAAAAACAATAAATATTTGTAGAAAGTGCGACAGTCTTAAGTCGTTTTGAGCAAAATATCCTGATCCAGTTGTCCTTGAATCAGGTAGGCCGAGCCGCGCGAGTGTGGGCATTGCCGGTCGAGGTGGCTCCAGAGGCCGGTCGGAAAGGGCGTTGAGCCATTCGACAAGGTCTCGGGCCCTGTTCTTCTCTGTCCCCAAAAAGAAGCGATGTCGCTTTTCCTGAAGACCCTCGAACGGCGTCTTCATGACGATCTCGAGCTTTCTCTTGATGCCGTATCTGGGCCGAAATATCTTGAGGGGATTCGCGACCGAACCCCCTCAAGCCATCGTATAAATAGGGCCACGTCCCTCCGGGCCATGACCATCTCGATGGTAGCAATGGTGCTCGCTGACCCCGTGGGCAGTGGCGGGCCCATAGGTAAGAGGAGAAGTAGTGTTGGTATCTCCGCCTGCAAAGGAAGAAAGATTGCCGTAGTCTTATACTCTCCGTTTTCCGGGAGAGCTGTCGGGCCAAACCCCTGGTTGAACGACGAGCATCGCGTTGAGCATAGCTTGGAGTAGGCGAAGAAGTAGAGTGTGCAATTGCCTTTGAGCACTCTAACGGCCAGGAGATCGCTGAAGTCATGGCCGAGGATGCATCCCCTTTTACTATTTGAGGTCCGCCACCGTTGTTGGATGGTTGAAAGTGTCGTTAGACTTGGTTCTTTGAACATTGTCTGAGCAAGAATTCAGGGCAGGGTAGTGTTTCCAACAGACTCTCCTCAGAACAACGTGAACTTGTGGTAAACACCACTCTTAATATTCTCGCCTTTCTTGCGCCCGCCACCCAGTGACAGTATAGAGGCCGTCGGAACCTGAGGAATGGAAATGGGCCAGTGTTTGAAGTCTTCCCCATGGGGGCAAAGGCGTAATTCGAACTAGATTGTGAGTAGAGATTAGTGCTAATTCTGGCCTTCAAATGCAAGGGGAGGGAGTTCACCATATCAGAACAGTGACTTTCCATGATAGGAGTGGTAAAAAGGAGCAACACCGACACCCCCCAGTACAACCTCGGCCTTGGAGGCCTCGGATCATTCTGTCCTTGATCCCTTATCGGCTGCAGACCGTTCGTGACGTGGTGAGTGTGGACGAATCTGGGCAGGCAGAAATAACCTCCCAGACAGCCACATTGCGGAAAATCGTGTAGTTGGCTGGGTTGGTAGTGAAACACCTACAAAAAGTCAGTCTGATACCATCTCGGGCGACACAAGCAGGACATCACACCAAATCGTTTTGCAGTTCCGCGCATGCTGCTGCTCTTTGCTAAGCAGACTGTCACCCAGTCGACGAGTCTTTGCAACAGCTGGTAGCTACAGGTGACGACCTGAGGGCTGCGGATGGTGATGGCGACCACCAGACTTGATGAAACTTGTCGAAGATATGCCACAGCGCCAGCGCTGAATGAAGCTATTGTTGGCTGTCGGTGCCTGTGGTAGACAGGCAATGAATGTTTGGAGCCAGCTCCAAGTTATGAAGCATGTATTCAAGCAAGCAACTCGGGGTTGGTGAGCTCTGCCGTCCAACATCAAGACTTGCGATGGAGTTAGCAATTGCTCAGACGAGGATGATAAAGGACGGAGGATGAGGTACTTACGGCTGACTTGATGTTCTCGAGGTGAACAAGTGTTCGAACAATGAAAGTGAAGAAAAGAAACTGTTTCACAAAGAGTGTTGAGTGGTGTGAAGGGGAGGTGCCAATTTCTTCCGTCTGACGACAAGACTTGCGATGGCAATCAGTAATTTCTCAGACGAAGGAAGGAACGAGGGGATAACCACATACAATTCTCTTGGTGCCGGACTCAAAGCGTTCAAGAAGACATCGAAGCGTTCATGAAGACACCTCGGAATGAGTGGAAGGAGACATGAGACGCTGCTGAAGGTCCCGAGTCCTTCCGTCCAAAGAGTAACCTTGCGATGGCGTTAGCGACTGCTCGGACGAATGTAGAGAACGCAGGTGAAGACTTACCAGCCTGCTTCGTGTTGAATTGGACGGAGGATTCGAACAAGGAATGGAAATAGTGAAAGAACTCCCCCGATTGTGGCTCCAGAAGCTGTTCGGGGTAGTGAGAGGGGAACCACTTTGAGCTCAAGGTCAAGGACCTCAGTCGGGGTGAAGAGGAAAGAAGAAAGGAAGGATGGGTGAAGTCGGGGAGAAAGGCTGGCCTTTTATATTGGGGAGGAGGGAGGGCCAGAAGATCTCAAAGGGTCGTTCAACCGCCCTCACGTGATGAACGACCGTCTGGAAGACCCGACGGAAGGAGCAGAACGGACGAAGTGAGGGAAGGGAAGGCTATGAAGCGCGATGAAATTTCGTCCAAAGAAGGGGGTGAGGTGGTGCACAAGAGGAAGGAGGGCCTCATGATAGAGCAGGAAGGGGCGGTTGAGCTTCCCACCGGCATATCTACGGAGCTTGTGATTGTAGTTTAGGAAAGAACAAAGTACACCTAGCACTATAGAACGATTGTTTCATTTGAGAAATAATGATGGGTAGCTATGAGGATGATGATTATCTGTCGAGTTTTACCTCAACACAAATACCCAGGCATAGATGCTATATAGCTTACTCATTCATAGATGAGGGCATCCACATGCATGCTTCCTCTAGAGACATGAGAGCTACATTGCCTCAATTCAGAACGGCACCATGGTCAACGATATGGGGCAAATGGATCCATGAAGGCGACGCTATGAGGAATCTTCTTCTTACAACTTGAGCACTTATCATTTATGTTAGCAGCTTGTGAGCAGCATGCAACAATAAGAGCTATATGTATTGAGGTTAATGTGACTTTTCTCCATTCAAATCACTCCAGAGAATTGGAAACCATCTTACATTTCAACACTATTCCCAAGCTTCCATTTAATCTGTCTGCTTATGACGAAGCTGAGGTCTCATGTTGTGGCTTCGTGACTGACGCTTAAATGAGAGACGATGATTGGTCAATGGGGGAATGACATCGATGACGTAGCTCACTGGTCAACAACCTCCGAGCCCCAAACTCGCTCCCTTCCCTTTGTCCATTTGCTCCAAAACACCATCGCTGTCCTCAAGATTCTCCTCTAGATGCTACTGCGACCACGACAGCTCAACATCGGCCTTCGACTCACCCACGGAGCTCCCATCGTCTCCACGACTCCCATCCTCCGGCCCCTCAACCACAGTCATCAACTCCCGCAACAAACACCCCTCCACACCACAACAATGAGCTGGATGGACTCCTGGTCCCGACCAGGCAAATCCCAAGCCACGCCAGCACCCTTTTACCTCCTCCCCAACGGCGACCAAACACCCTACTGCCGCACCTGCGGCCGCGTCATCTCCAGCCGCAAGACCGCAGCCACAAACACATCCTCCAAGTCAAACTCCAACAAGGACAAAGCCTCCGAAACCCAAAAACCCCCCGTCGAGGCGAAATACTGCTCCTCCCGCTGCCGCGCAAAGAAACCAAGCCGTCTAGACAAGGAAATCGAACAAGTATTCGTCCGCTTCCTCCAAGGCGAGGAAGAAATCCAAACCGAGGCAAAAACAAAACCCAAGAAAACAAAGGGCGACACCCGAATCCTCGTCCCCTGCGACATCGTCGAAGAAACCTTCTTCGGCGAGCGAAAAGCCCCTGACCAAATCTACGGCCGGGGCAAAAACCGCGCCTCGCGCGTCATCACCGCCAAATCATCCTCCTCTGACAACGAAGACGAGGGCATCTCCCTCCGCGAACGCCGCTCCTACGACGAAGACGGAGGCGAGGACATAATCGACGAGATGCTAGGCGTAGACCGCACCAAATCCACAGAGCTGGATCCTAGCGTGCAGGCGAGCCTCTCTGTGCGCAGCGGGACGAGGGTGAGGCCTCCGCAGACGCAGAGCCAGGTGAATGGGAGCGTGGGCGGGGAGAAGGGGCGGGCGGAGAGGGTTGAGGAGACGGAGGAGATGAGGGAGAAGAGGGCTGAAGGGCAGAGGAAGGCTCACGAGAGGGAGATGGTGAGGTGTGCTGCTAGGAGGGGGGTTGTGTTTGGGTTTCTGGTTGGGGATGGCGAGGAGAGGAGGAAGTGTGAGGCTGTTAGACAGGGCAAGGTTGTTGAGCCTAGCTTTGCAAAGGGGGATTGGTCTATTCGGTGGCGGGAGGATTGATTATCGGCGTTGAGAAGCATCGGGTGCATCACACATTGCACAAGGTAGACGAAAAAGATGAATGAACATGAATTCTACGCTGTATTAATTTCCTTTTCCGGTCGTAAACATATACATATACAAGCTCAAACGCTCCGGCATTCTCTGCTTTTTTTTCAACTCTAACAAATCTCTTCTCAAGTCTTTCAAGTCTTTACAAATCTTGTAACTCTGGACTCTCGGGCTCTACGCTTTCTACAGGAAGCTGGTGGCCACGGTGATAGCGGTGGTGTACACCATGCCGACAAGGCCGAGGGCCATGAGCGCGTAATCGCAAATCTTTTGGTTTCTCGTCTCGGCGATGCCCTTGAGATGCAGGTAGGGCGGGTAAATGTAGACCAAAGGCACGCACGCAAATGATCCAATGAGCGCGACAAAACGGTCGAGGTTGGCGGAGCCGGCAATGGAGATGGCGATGCAGAGGGCGACGAGGGAGGTGCGGAAGGCGTTCTTCTTCCACTTTGTCAGGAGATCCTTCTTGCCTGAGCGGTAGCCAAAGATCTTGGTCTCGATGATACGCATGGCGGGGAATAGCTGGACGGGGTTGCCGACGAGGACAGCGAGGGCGTACATGAACTGCACGGCGTTGACGAGGCGGCTGTCTTGCGGGTAGTTGTCGATAATTTCAATCTTTGTGCGGTCTCCGAACGTCGCGTAGCAGAGGGCGCCGACCGAGGTAAAGACGCAGGTGATGAGGAGCATGACGCCCGCCAACAGGGGCTCAAAGTGCTCCGGCTTCTTCATGCTGGCCTGGATGGGAATGATGAGGCCGATGCCCTCGAACGTGAAGATGGAGGCGCCAATCGTGAGGGTGTAGGAGCTCGGGTTGAAGAGCTTGACGGAGGGATCCATGCCGCGGGTAGCGAGGGCCGAGATGTCGTACCACCAGATGTATCCTACGCCAATGATGATGAAGACGTCGGCAAGGAGGGCAGCTGGACCGAGCTTGGAAATGTTGCGAATGAAGGCTAGGGGCACAATGACAATGGCCTGCAGAGCAATGAGGGCGGTTGAGTCGAGGGGATTCGCGCCGCCCGTTACTGCCTTCAAGAAGGAGAACCAGTTGTCGGCCACAAACACGAGACCCGTGCAAACGAAGCCAATCTGAGAGAGTGTGATAGACGCCAAGATGAGGGAGCGCATGCGCGGGCCCGAGATTTCCTTGCCGAGGTCACCGTAACCACCGCCGTAGCGGGTGCGGCACTGCAGGAGCAGGTGGAAGGCAACCATGGAGATTGCGGCCACGACGAGCATGGTCAGAGAGGAGAAGAGGATGCCGCCGTTCTTGAAGGCCTTGGGCAAGAACATGATGCCCGTGCCAATGAAGGCCTTGAGGGTTGTGAAGAAGGTCTTTGTGGTGCTGGCATCGCCGGCCTTCTTGGCGAAGCGCGAGGACCGGCGTCTTCCCAGCAGCGGACGGGTCTCGGTAGGTGCACCGCGGGGTCTATCTTGCGCCTCCTCTTCATCCTCGTCGTCCGAGACAATGGCCTCCTCGTCTGAATCGGCAAGATCCTCACCAGCGAAGGAGCCGTAGAAGTCGAGGAACTCTACAAAGTTGCGGGTAATGGGGAGTGTGGCGGCAGTATAATTGTGTTTTTGCATGACAAATTGGCGGCGAAAGCCCTGGGGCAGAAGCATCTCGGCGGCGGGCAGGTCGGATTCGTGGCCGGACTCGGTGCGGCGCGGGTGGGAGAATGTCTGGGCGCGCTTCAAGGTTTGTTCCCTAGCCGAAATCTTGAATAGATCGCGATGCATGTCGCCGCCGGGGAGAAGGAGGGAGGATGCCTCCTCGACGTTGTCGCCGTCGTCATTTTCGGTGGCGGGGAGGTTCGGGGCGGAATTGGAGTTTATGTGAGCGAGGTCACCGTTGGAGAGGTTTCGTGTGCCGTCGAAGCTTGTGCCGTATCCCGAGGGGAGGTGATTTGCGATTACGGCACTGCGCAAGCGGTCCTCTGTGGATGAGGGTGTGTCGGACATGGCGGTGGATGTTTTTGGGGGATGCTGATCAGAGATGGTGTCTATGATGATGTTGTGGTGATGCTATCGAGTGGTGGAAGGAATTGGGGTAAACAACCACGACGGATGCTGGGAACTGAGAGAAATTGGAGGTCAAGTCTATGCTTGTGAGCATCCCCAGGCCATGCAAAGATGCAATTGAAACGATGAAGAAAGATGCAGAAGAGGTGGACAGAGAGAGACAGAGAGAGCCGAACTCTGAGGAAGGGTTGCCTCGGTTCAAGTTTGGATGTTTGGGCTCGCGGACTACGAGGATGCGGTCGCAGCTCTAGTCATGGGATCGTGGGGAATTGGGAATTGGAGGAGATGGGAAGAAAGTGTGAAAAGCTTCAACGTTGTTTTTCAAGGTCGGTCAATGTCTGGTGTGGACACTTGACTTGGTGAAGCTCGAGCCGCTTGCGGACCCCACTGCGGATTTATGCATGGGTAGCCGAGTACACAGCTGGAAAAAGAAATAGAGGAATACTTGTGGTGGATGGGATGACTGGGCAGAAAGGGTCCGATGATGGTGGAGGGAAGAAGTTGTGTAGAGTCGACGTCTATCGCGGGGGTGGGGGGAGAGACAAAGTGGAAAAGAAATAGAACCAACGAGAGAAGAGCGGGAACACAGGAAAGACCCGGTTCGAAAGTACTGCAGATGCAGACGAGGAGGAGCTATGCCGCATGGGGTTTACTGCCTCTCTCACTCTCACTCTCACTTTCGCTGCTCTCTCTCACTCTCCACACTCACCCTTGAGACCAAGGATCGTGAGAAGGCGATACGTCAGTCCGCAGGAACAAGCGCGACTTCTGGGGCCGCGAGAACAGCACCAATGGTCACCAGAGGAGCCAGAGGAGGGGCGCCTAGCTTGACCAACTGTTCACCCTGCCACGCACCACACAAACTTGCCTCTCAGTGGAGATGTAAACGTTCAATGCTGGGCCCCCGGACAAGAGGAATTGCCGCCAGCTTATGGCGGTGAGAGAATCACATTGAACTCTGCAAGTCGCGAATGAGTGATGACAGGACTGAAGAAAAGAGTTCGACGCTCCGACTTCCCTCATGGGGTGAGACACCAAGCTCAAACAGGGCCCAGTGGAGAGACACGAGATCACGTTACCCTTCACAGACCTGTCTCGGTCTGCAGTAGATTACTCGTCATCATGGATCTGTCCCAGACATGTCTTCTACATGACACTTGCTATTCCGGGCGTTGGAAATGCATTCCTCTGAAGTTGTGTGTGTCAATGTCACTCTTGTTCTTCATTATGAGATTCACTCCGTGGCTCACTCTCACTCACTTTCCAGGTTCTCACACCAAATCTTCCAGCGGGGCCGCCAATGACGCCACCCGACGGACCCTTGAAAAAGAGACTAAAAAAATGAGAAAAGTCGAGGCCTGTAGGCTTGCCGGAGCAAATTCAAAAAATGATCCCAGCCCAACCCAATGCCCGAGCAACGATCGGGTCTCGTCCGATGCTAACCAGCGGCCAGCATCACGTGGTCCATGCCATCCAACAATATGATGACCAAATGGTCGCCTCTCAATGACCCACGTGGATTTGTTTTGATGGATCACGAACTGCCGGGAATAGCCTCACTCACTCACTTATTCATTCAGTCACCTGCCACGGTCCTCGTTTGCTCACTCACTCACCCGCCGACCGATTGCATGAAACATCAAATGGTGTCATTCAGAGCACTTCTTCACTCATCGGCCACTGTCTCATTCCGTCAGTCTCAAGTGAGACTGTGAGATCAAGACCTCATCGCGGTCCCCCTCTGCCGAGACACATGTTTTCTTTTTACCGCTGGAATGCTCATGTTTCGCGGAAAGGGTTTCTCCCCCAAATCTGAGACCTGGACTACCTAGACCCTCAATCGCCCTTTCAAAGCGACACCATCATAATAAGATGGCTGACGCTCGCTGCTGCACGGCCGCTTGCAGACCTCATCGCATTCCATCCTCATAGCCTCACCATCAATCCAGGAAAACACGTGCATCATGCGCCTGCGAGCAGCGTCATAAGGGAACAGCCAAGGCCAGCTGGATGCTTATTTCTTCTCTTCTCGTCTGTCTTCTAGAAGTCTAGACCTGGGCCTCGACGCTGAAAACAGGGGATTCTTTGTTTTTCATCAGCATTCCTCATCCTCGTCAATCTGCATCTCGACCCGACCTCCATGATCCTTTCCTGGTGATGCTCAGTTCAATCATCAACTCAACTGTCATGATCACTCCGCGCAACTACTGGCACTGCGAGTACCCTTCACACCCATTAGCACACTCAATCAGACTCACAGAAGCATCATCGGCACTCACAGTCATTGACCTTGACACACGTGAACGAACTCGCGCACTACCCCAATAATGTCAGCACCCAGCTCAGTCTCCTCATCACACCGCGGCAACATACCGCAGTCGGTCCCGTCCAGTTAATCCCGCCGCACTGACCCCACTGAGGTGCCGTCCCGGATCCTCCGGCTGCCGTGGTCGTTGTCGCTGCCGCCGTGGAGGTTCGCAGCGTCGTAGATGCGCGGCTCGTCGTCGCAGGAATCGTCGCAGGAGCTGATGAGCTCACCGGCGTCTAGAGCAGCAGTCAGCAGTCAGCTTGTCTACACCGGAACTCCAATCCTGTCTAGACTTACCACGAAACCGAACCACTTGAGGTCTTCTTCCGGAAACACATCAATCGAATGGGTCACGCCCGTACCCAGGAACGTCTTCCAAATCAAAGATCAACATGTTGTCTCAACCAGTGATTAGAGCATCAAGACTCACCTGCAACTTATCCCCAAACACGTACTTGGTATACGGGCTCCTGGGGAAGTTTGCCACCGACGACTGCGGCGTCGCAGAGTACCCAAGCACGCCCGTCCACTGCTTGATCGTCTCGTAGTAGTTCTGCACGTTCAACGTTTCGTCCGCCGCGCCGTGATAAATCTGCATCTTGGGCCGCGCCCCCGTGTACCCCGGGTACATGTTGTTCACGACGTTGGCCCACTGCTGCTGCGTCCAGATGGACTGGCCCGTCGAGCACGTCGAGTTCCAAAAGTCGGGGATGTCGTCCGCGGACATGAAGCAGCCGGCCGGAACGCCCGCGTAGGCGATGCCGGCCGCGAAGACGTCGGGATATGTTGCCGCCAGTACGTTCTTCAAGTTTACCAAAGATCACCTATCAGCATACTTGACAAGGAGAGGACGTGCAATGGTGAGCAAAAGTCGAGACATACCGTCATCATGGCACCAGACGAGATACCAGTCGCATACACCTTGCTCTTATCCGCCCCATACTGCGCAATCACAAAGCTCACCATATTCGCAATGGAGTTACTCGCGCCGCCCCCGCCGTGCGTCAGGGTCATCTTGCTCGCCACGTCCCAGCAGTTGTCGCGCGTGTACGGCGTCTGCGGGTAGATCACGATATACCCGTACGTCTCGGCGTACCGCGCCCACTGGCTGCCCTGGTAGTATGCCTGCGCGCTGCCGCTGCACCAGTGGATGCCCACGACGATGGCGGGCTTGGCGGCGAGATTCTGCGGCACGTAGAGCCACATGCGCGTGCCTGTGGGGTTCGAGCCGTAGTCTGTCACCTCGGTGAAGGTTGCGCGGGGGACGACTTCGGCGCCGAGGGCGATGTTGAGGAGGGTTAGGACCCAGAGGGCCATGCCTAGGATGAACTTCATCTCGGCGATGGGTTGATGGGGCGAGCGGGTGAACCACAAATCATCTCCTTTGAAGGGTCCGTGACGAGGCTTCTTTTGAGGATTTATCTATCTCTTCGCCGAGTCCTGTCCTACAGGTTTTCTGCAGACATGGCCTGCTTCAATGAGTGCCCCGGATCGTAAACCTCCGTATCCGTGAGTGAAGTGACATCGCGTCGATCAGGCTTGCACATCCTCCGCCACTTCTCGGCCGCATCCGTACCATTCTTTTCACTTCGAGTGCTTCATCGATGTACAGTCCCAGCTACTAAGCTTCTGTCCCTGTTCCTGCAGACCTGCCCTATCCTTACGTTAACCATCCCTCACCTATGGAGAACGTGTGCGTGCTCAAGGCGAGATGCGGCTGCTCTCTGCCCCTCCATCGCGGGCAGCGGGCCTCAGTTCCCAAATACAGTCAATTCCATTCGGAGGTATCTGCGGGAAGCCTCCTAGGAAAGACGGCTGTGAATTCCAGCTTGAAATCGTGTTCAAGATTAAGAAGTATCGGAAACGAGTAGCAAAAGTTACCCCCTCCGATGATGGTTGAGCTTCTCGAGCCAACCCCGCCATGCAGTCCTCAGCGCGGAAACTTCTTCCGCCAATCGCTTGGACGGAGATTCCCGTTCTTGGGAGTTTGACTGCTCAGAGGCTCCGCGATCAATTCGGGAAACAATATATCTTGCTTGGCTATGTGGTATTAGTGCTACCCAAAAGAGAAGCTTATTGACGAGAAATTTCTCGGTTTCGCATTGCTGCCCGTCGAGCCGATGTCCCAGATTTCTCGATATCGCACACGCTTTTCGTTCGAAGTAGCTCCTGAGATCATTCTGGGCTATTCCTGATTCCTAGGCGATTAATTGTCTCCACTAGTTTCATGACATGATTGCTTTAGGACGAGGCTTTGGACCGGGTCACCTCAACAAGGCGGTAGCTCCAACAGCCTTGTCGCCTGGCCGTATTGTCTTTCCTTTTACACCAGATATCCGCAGCACGCAAGCCTCAATAAAGTCTCCCTTCGTGCCTCAGACAGCATCCTTGCGACGCCTGATCAGGACCTTTGCCCTAGGATTCGCCAGAGTAGAAAACCCAAAACGCATAGGCTCAACACTACTCTTGTCCACATCATCAGCCAGCTTGAACTCGTACCCGAGCAAGATGTGCGACATGATCAGCTTCGCAGAGCTCGCGCCAAAGAACCGACCTGGGCACGCGTGCGAGCCGAGCCCGAAGCCCATGTGCTCCGGCGACACGCTCGCGAGCTGCGCGTTGTGCTCGTTGTTGCCGCCCTCGCGCATCCGGAGGAAGCGTCGGCCGTCAAAGGTTTCTGGGTTTGGATAGATCTCCTGTGTTCAGGAAGTTAGCGATCTGGTCGGCATAGACCGCCGACAAGAGATGGAATGTCTTACCGGATCCCACATGTTCGCGGATGATACGGCAACGCCTGTCGTCTTGGGCAGCACGGTGCCGTCACTCAGTTTCACGCCATCTTCCATCACGCGCCTCCCAAGAGCCACTATTTGCAAGTTAGCAATGACACAATGCGCAGTCAATGAAAGTCGCTGACCCGACGCAATGGGCTTGAGACGCAACGTCTCCTTCAGCACACTGTCCAAAAGCCTCAGATTATACAACGTCGAGCTCTTCCACCCACCCCTCGTCTCCCTCACAATCTCCCCCCTCAACGCCTCCGTCACCTCCGGATTCACACACAAATCCAGCAAATTCTGCGACACCATATCTGTACTCGAAGCATTCGCGAGAATCGACAACCCAAGCTGCTGAAACGCCGCATTCTGCGCCGTCCGATCTTGCTGCTTCTTCGCCAGCTTCTCGATCCACGCCAACGCGTTATCAAACACGACCCCACCCTTCTCGGCCTCCTGCTCGCGCCGCTTCTGCAGGATTGGCTCGATAGCCTGCCGCGCGGTGCGGAGCATCTGGCGCAGCTCACGGCAGCAGGGGAGGAACCAGTGGACGAAGCGGCGGACGGGGGCCGGGTAGGAGCGGAGGACTTTGGCGGCGGCCATGGCTTTTTGGGGGTAGTTCATGGTGATAGTGAGCCAGGTTGGGTCCCGGCAGAGTTCGGGGCCGAGGAAGACTAGGGCAGAGACGCGGGCGACGATTTGGGCGATTGTCGGGGCGAGAATGATTTCGTGCCATTCTGAGATGGTGTTAGAGAGGACATGAGTATCTCAAGTAAGGGTATGAGATGATTGGTTAGATGTACCTTCGTTATCCGTAAAGACGTCTTTCAGAGCGTTGGCTGCCTCGTCTGCGAGCGGTTGTGATAATTTGGCTGCGCGGCCTAGATGAGCAAGTTGTGAGACTGGACGGGTTCCAAAGACTCACCAACATCACTCTGAGTGAGATGAGTTCGGATCATCTCACGGATGAGCTCGCTTCCCGAGCTAAAGTACGGCTCGAACCCCGGTGTCCCGGCCTGCCAGTAGGCCAGGAGGAACTCGGTCGAGCTCAAGCGGTTATCATTCTTCACATCGTGGCAGAACTCAGGCGCCAGAACCGTGAGGGTGCTACCCTGACCGGTGAAGACTCTGAATGGCTTGCCGCCGTATTTCTTGGCTCCCTTGGCAAGGAGGGCTCTCCCGCCTTTCAGGTATTCCTCCTGAGTCTTGTTGATGACTGGGTAGATCTCGACATCTTGGAACTTGTGTCGAAGAGGTGCTGCGATGACTGAAGCTAGTACGAGTAAGGCTAGCCAATAGAAGCTGGAGTTGGACGCAGGAAGCGATGAGGATAGCTTTAGGCTTGCAAACTCTGCCCAGCTGGCTGATGTAGTTGATACGTTCGTATCCATGATATGGTGATCGGAACTGGGCCTGACACTATCTCAGAAGTGGCTTGCGGAAAACTATCTCCAGTACAGATGAGGGTTCACGAACTAAGGCTCAGTCTTTAGAGCCGAGATTTAAAAATTCTTTAAATTTGACCTATTCACTATGAGTTTGAATAAAGCTTCTCGTTCAATCCGACTGCTACTCTGACTCCAAAGGTGAGCTGGCTCAAAGTACCTACTTAACCTGTCGCCCAACATTTTCGCCGCGATTCTCATTGTGAAGACCACGAGGTGCTAGGGAGTACATAGATTTCTCTGTGGCATGGAAGCGAATGAGTCGATGAAGAAAGCTACTACGGAGCTGGGGCTCGGTCCGAAACCTTCGCGCGGATTGTCTTTCGGACCGCTACATTGGCTGCTGAGAGCATCATTCAAATGACACATTTTGTACTCTTTTTAATGTGTGTTAGTGTTTTTGCTGGTCGATGAAGGGTGCTTCAAGACGCCAGGTTGAAGGGAGAGACAGCGACTACGACCGCAGCGCTCGATAAATCCACCTGCTTGTGTGGGTGCGCTAATAGAAGGCGGAAACCCGGCATCATGGTTGCCGGCCGGCCCTATGATTAGTACTAACACATCCTTTAGCTCCGCGTCGTCGGGTCCGAGATCTAGTCGGAGGTCATCCCTACGGACATAACACAGCGGATTTGTAGGCGGCATTATTACGGATTATCTCTTGACTACTGTTGTAGTGCACTGGATATCAACGACTACTCTGCTCCAGTCGCGTCTCCATACGGAGCGTTACAGTAGTGCCCGGAGCGGTGATCAAAGCGTCAAATTCTTCTCTCGATCGGATGACTGACAAGCAGGCGGAATCTACCGCGGTGTAAAGTCTGCGATAGCCCTTGTATCAACGGACCGAAAGAGACAAAGTGCCTCACTCAGTACTCTATCGCTACGGCTTGGAAGTGATGATGGACGGCTGCGCCGACTTGGCTTCGGTCGGCGGGTCCCCAGATAGAAGAGATTGTTGAAGGGACATGACATGGAGGCCGGGTTTTCCGAGTCAGTCGGACTTTGCGTTCCTCACGGCTCGACTCCCCCCTCTTGGGGGCGCAAAACATCATGCAGCTAAGTCACGCAGCGTGCCGAAACCCCAAATACCCCTCTGCACTAAATCTTCGGGAAGCCAGCACGGGTTATGTCTAAAACCTCATGATCCGTGGTTGAAAGAAATCCAAAAGTGTCCATTTGGGGAATGCCAAGGTGTCATGTGTGCAACGTCGTAGATGGAAAAAAAAGATTAGATGACGCCGAGGATAATGCCGCAGGTATAGCCCTCTCACACGTCTCGTTTTGGCAGGCCGCTCTGAACGTCATTCGTTTCCCGATATTAAGGGGAGTAAAGGCCACCTGGACGCGTATGCAGGTAGGATCCATAAGCAAGAAATCAGCAAAAGGAAACAAATTGATTCCGTAGTAGAGAACTGTCAGTGTCGAGGAGTTCGAGAGGGTCAGATCTACAGGGACTCCCGCAAATGGTTGCAACGAAAGAGGCAACGTCAGATACATGGGTGTTGCTTGTCGGGCCGCCGCGCGACTCGAACGATCTGAGGACCTCTGTCAGCGGATTTTTGCGTGTTTTGTTCAGAGTCCTGACTCTTGAAACATCAAACTTTTTCACAGAGGCAATTTGAATGGATCTGCAAGAGAAACAACGAGGGAACACCCGTACAGTGATCTCTGAAGCTCTCGAAACACGCATATCACACTTCTCTCGAGTTGTGTAGATATCCGTAGGGATACGATTACTCAACAACCCGGTGCTCAATAACGGCCTTACATTCTCTTGGGAGATCGATTTCCAGCTCCTCCGTCACAAACGCTACCAATGTTGGGTTTCCAAGGCCCAGACTACCCAGCCCCCGGGTAAACCGGCGTCTCCCCGCACGTGGAGAAGCGTCTCCTTGCATCTAGTGACACTGGGGAAATGCGCTTCTCCAGTTCTTCCCCATCGCACAGGCTACGCTAATTCCACTCTCCGCTCTTCTCGTCAGCAAACGCCTCCACCATCCAAACAAGCTTCATCACAGTTTTAGAGTTGAACTGGCTCTAGATTCGTCGTCTCTTCCTTGCCTGCCGCGCGCGGCCCTACTTCCGCTTCAGAGCAAAGTGAGTTGACACGACTCTTGCTCACATGAGCAAAAGCCACAAAGTGAACATGACGAGTCCTGTCTTCCGCCCGGTAGAAGACTCTTCCGCCGCGATCAACCCCCGGAGAGCATACCCCAACCTGGTCGCCTTCTCCGCACTCGCCATTGCCGATGCATGGTTATCCCCTCAAGCTAACACGTGTAGTCTACCAGTGTGGGGAGAAAAAGGCAGGTCGCTATGCCTCATTCTATTGCTGTCAGAGCTCTCCCAGATGCTCGCCTTGAATCAGGCATAGACCGCCCAGTGTTTACTTTTGTCTGGAAGGTCGCCTTGTCCAGTCATGCCGTGGCTAACTGCCGTCACTCCACGCCGACCGGCACGCCACCCGAAGGGATCGCCGAGGGTGGGCATCGATTTGCTACTAGTCTTCTTGCCAGGGTTGTGTTGAGATGAACGGCCTGGCATCGTCACATTGGAGACTACCTTACTTCTGGATACCAGTTCGACTACAGTACCTACTCCATTGCCATTATAAAAGAAGCCATTGAGCCCCAACACCTCGGCGTAGAGGACCGCCAGTCTCGAATGGACCTTGGAATCTGTCCTATTCAACGCCCATTCGCCGACATGAAGTCCGTCAACCTTTCTGCGATGCTGCTGGTGCCAGCGGCTCAGTACGTCATGAGCGCTTTCGCCGACGACTGCAGCGCCCTCGCCAACAACTTGAAGCTCCCAAACACCACCGTCTGGTTTTCCACTCCCGTCTCTGCCGGAACCAATATTACCTTCCCAGAGAACCACCCGACATGTACCCGCCCTGGTCAGGTCGTCGGAGTCGACATTTGCCGTGTGTCCATGTTGACCACTACCGGACCCATCAGCAACGTTAGTATTGAGGCCTGGCTCCCGTCCAACTGGACCGGCCGTTTCTTAAGCACCGGCAATGGAGGCACTGGCGGATGTATCCAATACGAGGACATTGCCTACGCCGTCTCACGAGGCTTCGCTGCAGTCGGCGCCAACAATGGACACAACGGCACCATTGGCTCGCCCTTCCTCAACAACCCCGGCACCATTGAGGACTTTGCCTACCGATCCCTCCACACCGGCGTCGTCATTGGCAAGGAGACGACCAAAGCCCTCTACGGCAAGGAGCACACCAAGTCATACTACCTTGGATGCTCAACTGGTGGAAGGCAGGGCTTCAAGGAAGCCCAAGACTTCCCCGACGACTTTGACGGTATCGTGGCTGGTGCGCCCGCCTTCGCCTTCAACAACTTGACATCCTGGAGCGGTCACTTCTTCACCGCCACCGGCACCTCCGACAAGCCGACTTTCCTGTCGGCGGATCTCTGGACTCTCGTCTACAAGGACCTGCTTAACCAGTGCGACGGTCTCGACGGCCACGTCGACGGCATTATCGAGGACCCTGATCTGTGCCAGTACCGCCCCGAGTCTCTCATCTGCGGTGCCAACCAGACGGCAAACTGCTTGACCGGCATCCAGGCCCAGACGGTCCGCACCGTCTTCTCCGACCTGTACGGCCAGGACGGAAGTCTCGTCTACCCCCGCCTCCAACCCGGTGGCCAGCCCACCCAGATCCTGCTCGCAGGCCGCGCTTTCCCCTACACCACGGACTGGTTCCAAAACGTCATCTACAACGACACGACCTGGGACCCGGCCACCATCGGCCCCAAGGACTTCGCCGCCGCCGCCGCTCAGAACCCCGGCGGTATCGAGACCTGGAAGGGCGACCTCTCCGGCGTCAAGGACCGCGGCACCAAGGTGCTGCACTACCACGGCCTCCAGGACCCCATCATCAGCAGCGACAACAGCGCGCGCTACTACAACCACGTCTCGCGCACCATGGGCCTCACGTCCGCGCAGCTCGACGAGTTCTATCGGTACTTCCGCATCTCAGGCATGAACCACTGCAGCGGCGGTCCCGGCGCCAGCTTCATTGGCAACAAGGACTCTGCTGTTGCCGGGTTCGAGCCCGAACGCAATGTTCTCTCAGCCATTGTCCGGTGGGTTGAGGAGGGCGTCGCGCCGGATTCGATCCTCGGCACTGCTTTTGTCAATGGTACGCAGGGCGGCCAGGTTGCTTTCACGAGGAAGCACTGCAAATACCCCACGCGTAACGTGTACAAGTCCGGAGACCCCAACTCTCCTGATAGCTGGACTTGTGTATAACGTCCCTTGCTTGTGTTTAGTCTGCTTCTGATGTACATATTGCTTACTGCACATTACCATAATATGAATGACAAGATTACGTGTACTATAATTCAATTGAATGAATGACAGCAGTGATAATTAGTCTAGGGAGCTTGTCTCGTAATTGCCTCATGACTGCCTCAGTGTGCAACTGACGCTGTTCATGCTGAAAGCCCGGATCACTTGGTATTCCCACTGTTTCTCTTCCCGTAGAGGGACAGGGAAGAAAAGGGAAGGAAATCTCGACTCGAGCTCGCTACCATCTGGAAGTGTCCTCGTATTCCATCAGAAAGGTTACAAATATGAATACGCAGGTAACACGTGGTAACATTGCTCTGCACCAAAATTACTATGATGAAGAATGTTTGAAAAAAGAAGCTGTCCATGGCATTATGTAGGGCCGTGAGCCAACATATGCTCTCACCACTCAGGGCGAGAATCGTACCGCTCGGCCATCGACTACAACGGACGGTGCTTCTTGGAAAAAATGGTCGCGCTTCTGGCTCTAAGAGGGTATCACGTCCAACCCTCCCTCTACATTAAGGCAACCCAGTTCGATTACCCGCTCGAGGTATCCACAACAACCAAAGTGCAGCCTGCTATAGCGTCAGACCTGACGAAAATATTATGAATATTACGGATTTCTTTTTGACAGAGTCCAAATTCTTTATGCAACATTGACATCACGCACATATTAACCGAAACCATTGAAACCGAGGGAGACAACGTGTCTGTGACATATCTGACTCAACTTGCATCTCTAACCCTCGCTACGTAGTCTGATCCATGAATGGGAAGATTCTCTGGCCTGAAGTTTGAATAGGCTATTATAGCCAACTCTAAAAAGTTCTCAGCAAGTTTTAACTGCCGCCGCTTGTTGAGCATTGCCGCATGTAGTTCAAAGTTTCCTCACCTTCAAAGTTTCTTTCTCTCAACTCGCGTTCGCTTCACTAATTGAACAACTACGAGAGTTCCCGTCACTTCAGCACACACAGACCATTCTGCTTCTCACCAGACCTTTTCTACTGGTCGCCTCCAACTTGGCGATCTGAAAAGGACACTACTCGTGACGATCTATGATGGGCAGACATGAACAACACGAACGGAACGGCTCCTGCGCCTTTTAACCCGGCATGGGCAGCTGAGAGTAACACCGCGCGCATCATCGCTGTCGTAACTGTTTTTCATCTCCTGGCGCAGTTGAGCGTTACGCTGCGGATATACGCCAGAATATGGGTCATCAAGGCGCCGGGGTGGGACGATACGGTCATGGTCTTATCGGCGGTAAGTACACCGCATCGAGCTCCAATCCTGCTGCCCGCAGAGACTGACTTGGTCGAGTGTGTAGATCTGCGCCTGGGGAGGATGGATCTCATTCGTGATTCAGGCGCAATACGGTCTTGGCAAACACTTCTCGACCATCGACAAGAAGTATGACTACATCGTGTTCAACCACGTCGCCTTTTGGCAAGCGATCATCTCCGCCGCCGGCGCTCTCATGTTTCTTAAGGTCTCTATCGCCCTTAGTCTCTTGCGTCTGAGCAAGACTGGATGGTACAAGTGGGCGTTGTGGTCAACTATTGGTAGGTAAATCACACTCGTCGGCCTCTTCCGACAAGTATTGACGGTTCGAACAAGCTCTTGTCTCGTTCTACTCGATTGGCGGCATGTTTCCGTTCTTCCTTCACTGCAAACCCATGTCAGGATTTTGGGACAGGAGCACGACACCACCTCCAAAGTGTAAAGATAGCAATAACATCAATCTGTTTGGTCTCATAAACACAGGTAAGTCGGGTTCCTGTGTCTCATGGCCGCGACGCGATGGTGATATCGCTCACGCACTTTCAGGATTCAACATCTTCACCGACGTAATTCTAGCCACCCTACCTGTGCCAGTCATATGGAATTTGCAGATGAAGCGCAGACTTCGTCTCTACGCAATTGGAATCTTGAGCTTAGGTTACTTGTAAGTATCGAATGATTCAAAGTCATGATTGCTCGACTCCCGTGACTAATGAAATTCCAAGTGCTGTTGCGATGGGCATAGTCAAAGCAGTATACCAGCTCAACAACGACAGCGACCCTGATAAAACTTTCAACAGAAGTATCCAATTCTGGGGCTTGTAAGTACGATTACAGAAAGCTCGGTGGCTTGAAACTAATAATTATTTCGCGCCTAGCCTACAGTTGCAGGTCGGTATCATCGCAGCATGCGCACCGGCTTTGAAACCTCTTGTCAACAAGTTACTCAATCTATCAGCATATAATCAGCATATTCCAGACGCATGTGGCAAGCGGTCCCAACAGACAGGCTCTGGACCGAGGACGCTCGAGTACGACACCTTCCGCAGCCGTACTGACGGGATAACCAGAAGCGATCAGTACGAACTCGATGAATGGGCCTTGGATCCACGATATGGCACACAAACGGGTGAAATCAGACTGCAGACCATGCAACCTCCAGCAGGCATAATGCTCAGCGAGTATGATCGAGGTAAGGCCTTGCGCATAGAAGAAGAAACTGCGATACAAGTCCAGTCGAGCAACTTGCATGGGATCATCAGCAAGACTACTGAGTTTGCCAGGAGATCTGAACATCTTAACTAGCATTTCCAACCGTTTATGAGCGGCATACGAGAAAGGTGTCTCATAGACATTTCAGCATCTGGTTGCACATGAAGTGGAACAACACGTACGCACGTATGTGCCATGCCGCATACGTGAGCTGACTTCCCTCTCCGCACGAAGTTCTCAACGGTTCGCCAAAGGCACTTCACTTGTGATTATTTCCAGGCCAGCCTTGAAGTCTAACATACACACTCATGACCTGACAATGTCCAAGTGCGGTCCGACGGATGAGACAAAAGCTCGTACCATGGAGCCATTCTTGCGATCGCGTTCCGATGGGATGATACCCTGTTATTCTTCGGCCGAAATTGGCGCTTTTGTTGACAAGATCCTGGAACAGGGGCCCTTGTGAGCGGGTGGAGTGAGGCCCCAGCCCGATGCACTGCAGCTGGGGCTCGTTCCTTGCAGTCACATCAGGGATTCCCGGGATGCGATCCCGTTGAAGCACGTCTCCGACCCAAGAAATTTAGCAGATTCCACAACAGATGGCAGGTGGGCTGTAGAAAGTGGCGAGATTCCGGGCATTGCGGGCTTGCTAGATTGGCGGACTCCGCGGTTCAGTTTGAGGCGTGCAAACACTCCCACCGGTTCGTTATTGAGTTCACTCTGTTGCCGTGACGAGATCATGGACATCTGCAGCACCGGAGAGACTCTGTTGCCACCCAGCTCTGAAGTTTGCACTGCCTGCTCTATGTTGACTTTCTGGATAGCGAGATGGAATAACCACTTAAGCGTTGTCACTTCGACCTTGGCCCTTCTCGATAATGATATTATCCATCATTTTCTGGTCTAAGGTAGCGAAGTGTTCCTCAGCAACAGCCTTCAAAGCGACATTATGACCTTTCAAAACTCTGCCAGCAGCTTTGGTAGGAGATACTGGTTGTTGTACTCCCACAAGATGGTGGTGAACTGCGCAGACCATGCAGCTCCCGTGTAGTATGTGCTTCTACGACCCTGAAGAGCGTATTGCTCAGTAATATGTCCAGCTGCCAGCTCAGCGCCAGGCACACGCAGGCTCACGGCACCGTGGTTAGCCCAGGCTTTCACATTGAGCTGCTCGGCACCGAGGCTCGGGATCGTACCAGCGTCAGCTAGCAACTTGAGGGACTTTCTGACTAGAGCTTGTGCCTGAGTGCTATCGTAATTGGAGGAGCCGGTGATGAGCACGCGGAAGTTGTTGTCGCCGAGGTAATCGAAGCGTCCAACGAAGGGAGTCTTAGGAAGGGAGATCCAGTTTGTGGGAACGTTGTTAGTGAGGGAGTAGCTGATGGGCAAGGAAGGGTGGGAAACGATGCCGGCGTGGACGGTAGTCCATTCCCACTTCGAGAAGACAGCCGCCTCCTCGTCGCTGATATCTATGCCGTCAAAATTGGCAATTGTAGGCTCAAAAGAGAAAAGAAGCTTCTTGGCCCTAATCAGTGTCTGCTTGTTGTCGGGGCCACGAACAAGAACCTCCACGCCATCCTCGATACGGGAGGTATTGATAGCTGTGGACGAGTAGAGGACATCGTCGCCGAGGAGGTCTGCAATGGCATCATAAATGTCTTGGTTTCGCCTGGATACAGGCACGAAGGAACCAACTGTGCCCAGGAATGACCGAGTGATGGGTGCGCCGAAGCCCTGCATGACGTACAAAGTTGTCTGGTCGGCGATATTGCCCAGACCAAGACCGGTGGTCTGAAAGATGCGAGGAACAGCCGCCTGAAGGTTGTGCTTCTTGACGAAGTCGGAGAACTTGAGGGTGAGGTCTTCAGGAACACCAACGGTTGTGTTTGGGAAGTTTGCATAGGAGGGAAGAATCTACGATTCGTACTTCTCACACTGCTCGAGATAAGCCTTCAGGGCAGCTGTAGCGTCCGCGGAAGCCGGTAAGGAGTAGTTGGTTGTCTTTCCTGTGCTGAAGTCGGCATACGTGGTCGTCAATACCTGTCTGACTGGAGTCTGCACAGGGATATTGAAGCGGGCGAAGAAATCGCGGGCGCCGCCGTAATCCGTATATGAGTTTACACCAAAGTCATATGGATTTCCAGTTTCGGGGTCTGTGAAGGTTGCGACGCGACCGCCCTGAGTGGGCATTAGGCTCTTCACTCTTTTCAGATCCAGTTGATTTTCACTTACAATGCGGTTCTGTTTTTCCACGACGACAATTGTCTTGTTATAGTCTTCGCGGAGTCTTACGGCTGCGTGAGCTCCAGAAGCACCTCCGCCTAGAATCACAACATCTCTCTCGATGATAGTTGTCTTGTTACCCGTGGGTATGATTGCTGCTGACACCAATGACAGAGCGCCAAGAGCGACTCCGATGAGCGATGACATCTTGACCCTTGGTACCGGTAGTATTGGTGGCAACGGATAATAAACAAGATGCAGTGCCTTTACCAATCGCCACTGGTGAGCTGGTAATGCTAACTGAGACGATGAGGGCAACGAAAGAGTCCAAGGTGAATATTCGCGTTCGTAGATGAGTTCTTAAGTAGGACATAAGTACCGGTTTGCTACGCCGCATCAACGCATCGGACATTCGGAGGTGCTGCTGTTGGGAGAATGGGATATGGAGGCATGAGATGCAGAACATGGAAGTGACCCCGGCTTAGCGTAGAACATAGATTCCATGTGCAGCAAGTTCGCCGAGAGCCATTCGTTGGGTGTTGCCAATGGGGAGACCAGATGCACCTTGTCCAACAAGATGACAGGGTCTAGTCAGGAAGTGGTGTTCTCCAACTGAGGTTCTACATGCGTTGCGGCGAACCCAAGCCTGAGCCCGTCCTAGCCTGCTTGATTGTTGCTGACAGGCATATTGGCGCAGGCAAGTAGTGATACCTCAGGTTTCTTGACCTGAGTTGAAGTTGGTTGCAGTTTGTGTTATGGCTTAATTACTCGAGGTAGTTGATTGGCTTTGAAGGAGGGAGAGGCTAAGCATAGATACAATAGGCCTTCTATCAATTATTGGTAATTAAGATCTTCGGGATGGCGCATTCGGTCACTGACTGAACGGTTACACTGTACAGGTTTGCCGAGATCAACCCACAAAAATGGCAATCAGAGTCCACATCTGTCAGTTGATCGGATGAGGCGATCACGCCAGTGGGTTTCGACTCGGCAACTATGCCCGAAATCCATCCACTCGTTAGGGCAGGGGGTCAATCCCACGGCTGGAGTTTGCCGTTCCACTCCGTTCCACTCAGTTCCTCGTCGTAGGGTTTGAGGTAAGTCGGAGCGACGAGAAAGGTATGCAATTAATAACAGTCCCTCAATAACGTCTATAGGGTTTGTTATACAAGGTGAAAGGTTTTCGCCATGAATTCAATAAAATTACAGATATTGATTACATTAGAGTGTTCAGTGACACTTGTGGTATGTATCGCTCTTCTCGGAAGACATAATCTCATCTATGTGAAGTCTCTCGACTCTTTAGGACAAAAACCAACTCAGTATTTTTTAGTAACCGGCCAAAATCTGGGCAGAGATCTTCTCGGCCAAGACATATACAGTGCTCTGGGGGTGGCCAGGGGGCAAAAGCGCAAAGCTGCTAGCATCGACAACTCTCAGACCACTGACACCAATGACCTTGGCATCTTTGTCGACGACAGCCATGGGGTCGTCAGACTTGCCCATACGGCACGTGCAGCTGGCGTGCCAAATGGTCATGACAGTGTTGCGAATGTTCTGGAGGATCTGGGCATCAGTCTCGACCTTGGGACCGGGAAAGTACTCCTTGTTGTCGGCCAAGACGGGCTTCATGGCATTGCTAGCAAAGGCCTGACGGAGGCGCTTGAAGGTGGCAACGGCGACAGCAACGTCAGTTGGGTCGGTGAGCCACTTGGGGTCGATGAGAGGCAGGTCCTTGGTATCGGCGGAGGCGAGGGTGACGGTGCCCTTGGACATTGGAGCAACGAGACCTCCGAGAATGGTGGCGTACTGATAGCCGTCCTTGGGCTGGGTGAGGAGAAGGTTGGAGAAGTCACCGACGTAGCCAGGGGCGGTGAGATACTCGATCTCGGGCCAGTCAGCAGGGAAGTTGCTGTCGAGGATGGCAGCAGTATCAGAGGAGATGAGGTCGCGAGGGGTCTTCTCCCAGCCGAGGAAGTCACAGACGGGGTTGGTGAGGGGGCCGATCTTGCGGATCGAGTAGTCGAAGGCGAACTGGGCAGCAGTGTAGATGAGGTCGTTGGCCAGACGGGTCAGAGTCTGGACCTTGACGCGCCACGTGGGACCGAAGAAGACGTGGTCCTCCATGTTTTGGCCGACACCAGGGCGCTCAGCGACGATGGGGATCTTGAACTTGTTGAGCTGGTCCTTAGGGCCAACACCGGAGACCATGAGAAGCTGGGGGCTCTGGAAGGCACCGGCGGACAGGATGACCTCCTTGTTGGCCTTGAGGGTGTAGGTGGTGATGCCAGCATTGGAAGTAAGAACAACGCCAGTCGCCTTCTTGTTGCTGTCAAAGAGAATCTTCTTGGCCAGAGACAGCTGGTAAACCTTGAGGTTCTTGCGGCCAATGGCCTCGTTGAGGAACGAGGTCTGACTGGACTCGCGCTGCTGCTTGCTAGGCTGGATAGTGTCGGAGCAGTACTGCGCACCCATAAGCTCACCACTGTTGAAGTCCTGGGCCTGGGGAATGCCGATCTCATTGAGGGAGGGCTCGAGGTACGTGCTGAAAGGCTGAGCGTAGTTGGCGTAGGAGACGTCAAGAGGGCCTCCGGCAGCATCGAAAGCGTCAAGGTTGTACTCTGCGCTGGCGTTGGGGAAGCGAGTAGGACCGGGCGGGGTAAACTTGACACTCTTCTTGAAGTAGGGAAGAAGGGAGTCCCAGGTGTAGCTATCATCGCCGATGGCATCTGCCCACTTCTGGTAGGACTGCTTGGTACCGCGCTGGTAGATCATGAAGTTGCGAGCGGAACTGATGTTGCGTTAGACTATTTGCCAAATTAAATGTAACTTCACGACTTGGGAACTCACCTTCCACCGAGACACTTGCCACGAGCATAGTGAATCTTGCGGTTGTTGGCACCGGTTTGTGGCTGCGTGATGAAGTTCCAGTCCACGAGAGGGTTCGTGTCAAGAGGACTAGCGCCAGCGAAAAGAGTATCGCCGGCGGGTGTCTGGCCGATGAGAAGGTTGGTGATCTCGTAGAACGTGCCGGCCTCAATCACAGCTACGGTAACATCGGGGTTGGCGCTCAGTCTGTTGGCCATCACCAGACCGGCAGTGCCACCGCCGACGATGACATAGTCGAAAGTCGCATCCTTTCCAAGACTGCCTGCACTAGTGCCGAGCTGACGCTTGTGCTCGGCATGGAATCGTGCCTCCTCGTCTGCCGGGGCGGCATGGGTCAAGCCCAATATGGTAATGAACGTAGAAACGGCATAAGTGACACGCATTTTGAAAAGAGAGTATAGGAAAAGTTAGATGAAAAAGAGAGTGATTTGTCGACCCGTGAGACTTGGAGGTTAATAGACAACATCTGGAAGTGAATAGGATTGACAAGTCACTTATAATCGTATGACATGTTTCCTCCATCCGATCCCCATCCCACCGGACGCTGTGAGCTTTGCCCGGAATAGATCCTGTCGCGAGTGTTTACGAGAGCTAAAGTCCATGTTCAGCTAGACTGGAGGCGGGCGCTAGAAGATCACGCTCATTTGGTCCACGCTAGACATAGTCTATTGCGTTCCTGGCTAAGTTTGTTTGCATTAGCGCGTGAATAGACTGCACCACCGCAGAAATTGGGGCTGACACCGATGACCACCGTTCTTAGGGTCCTCTGGTCAGACAGCGGCTTACTGCTTGGACCCTTTCTTAGTATTTCGTGGACAATGAAGATTGGTTCAGGGACATGTTTTTCCAAGATCTCCAGGGACGGAAACGTGGGCAACGGGAGCTTGCGGGGGTGTAACCATGACGCTAGTCAGGATTTGACTTTTGACTGCTTGCTCAGGGGAGAGTCGGGCGAGGTTCAGAGGGTCGCTCGTCCGAACCTTAACAGCCTAGACGCAGGTGATAGATCGAACGACAGACTTCAGGACGACCTGTAGGCCCAAACTGGTATTTCGGCGGCTGTTGCCGACAAAGTCTTGCGAATTTAGCCCAGTTCTGGACGGAACATGATGTCAACGATCCATTGTTAGTTTAGGTAGGCCACTAAGCTGCAGACCGGAAACCGCCTACCTGGACTCAATTAAGCAGAGACAGCAAGCTGGATTGTTTCACGATCCGCCGAGCCTTGTGAAGTCGAGTTACTAGATGTGTAGGTGGACCAAAATCTCGAATAATCATGTTAGCGTCGATCTCGTTCAACGTCAAGACGATGCCCGAATGGTCAATTGCGAAAATTCTTGGATAAGAAAAAACAAGAACTCACGCATGTGAGCTAGTAACATGGGAAGGGAGTGACAGGAATTTTGGCCCTTGAATCATGGAGACATGACCTTTTTGGATCTTCACACCAATGCTGCTCTAGCCATGATCACCGTGTCACACCAGACGCATACATTGGTCAGCATAAATAAGGTATTGCCTCGCTGACAGCATGAATGAATGAAGGAATAGTTAAGATCTGCGCTGACATTGCTTTTTGCTTGCAATGCTGACTTCAAGCAAGCTTATGAAAAATAGCCAATCAGCCGATACATTCTGTATGGAACGTCAAACAACAACATACCCTTCCACGGCTTCAAAATGCATAGGGGCAGGAATGAGGGCGTACAAAAATAATTTGTCTCAATTTATTCACTTCCGGCAAGGTTGGCTGGTATAAAAGATGTCCGACTACCTGTGAAGGCTCGGGTCTGATGAAACTTTTGGTCCGTAAAGGAGAGATGAAATTCTTCCATATAGGCTGTTTACCACGACTTAAGCCATTGATGCAAGGCCAGGTCGCTCCAGAGTACTGACGGCTTTGTCCGCTGGGGCGAACGACCTGTGGGTCTCCTGCGCTATTGACTCGAGCACGTAGAGTCGTAGAGGTGTGAGATTTTTTCGCCGCATCGATCGCGAGAGTTTATTTGTTGCAAGTCTTATCCGATATATGATCCGAATCATCAAGCGATGGGGTCCTGATTTTCTACCTTCATTGCATGTACTTAGTCTGGTAAAATTGCTGGAAGTTATGATTGGACAGGGAGAATGTTCCACTTTTGCGATTGAACTAGGTAAAGTAAGTTCTACGATAGACGTCAGATTGACTCGACTCCAGAGCCTTTGGCTTCGCAAAGGCCCCTCACTCTTGAGTTTGGCATGTAAACTAGAATCTTGTAGAAAGTCTGCCCAAGTTTTGAATAAGGGTTCGATAATCAATTAGACAACTACCACATTGAGCCGCGAAGGGCAACTGACTCTTCTTTCGGTCGTAAAAACACTGAAAACCCGCTTACATAAGTTCGTCAGGTTGAGCTCAGCCTCTGAAGGGACAGGGATATAGCTCGCTAATATCTGAAAACCGACGAGCTGGTTTGTCCCATTGACCCCTTAATCAAAGGTCCCAAGGAGCTCCAGCTCAACTTGACACACTAGCACAGCGCAAATACAGCGTAATTGGCTAAGATTTTCAACCATCTTCAACTTCCGGGATGGCATGGCCTCACGTGTTATAAGCTAATTGCCTCACTTTACCTCATTCTTCGCCAAACCGAGCAGTCACTGGTGGATTATTGAGTTGCTGATGGAGCCAACAACCATGTCGTCTTGCTGTAACCGGATGCTTCTGATTGCTGGGTGAATCGGGCGGGCCGCGTTAATCACTCGGTTTCGGCATTCTGCCCACAACTTTCTTGGGTTTAAACTTTCGTGGGGATGCCTTCAATCTATTCCAGAAGCTCTTCCCCTGGTAGTGCATCGCGAAGAAGGAAGTTCGCGCCTATTCGGCTCATGTATCCTGTTTACTAACCAAGTATGGTTGTCCTGACCGAGCCGAGGGGGTGAACTGGTAATGATGTAAATAGTTGACAGTCCCCTATGGAGCAATTTCGTATGGCTTTCTTGTCTGTCTATCTTCTGGTTCAGTTACTCTCTTTTTCTCACCACGTTCGCTTTCGCGACATTCACTCTTTTTCTAACAGTACCAAACATTCATTTCACTTGGCTGGTCCATCTACGATTCACCATTCTTTCAAGTTTCGAGTGACCTAGCCTACAACATCCAATCATGAGAAGCGCCGGCCTTATTTTGGCGGCCGCGGCGTCCGTCCGCGCCGCTTGCTCGTGGAAGAACGTCCACACCGGAGGCGGTGGCGGCTTCGTGCCGTCCATCGTCTTCCACCCGACCGAGAAGGGAGTCGCATACGCTCGCACCGACATTGGAGGTCTTTACAGACTGAACGCCGACGACTCATGGACCCCCATCACCGACGCCAACGGATTTGCTGATGACGCCAACTGGAACCGATGGGGCATCGACGCTCTTGCGGTTGACGCCCAGGATGCGAACAAGGTCTACATTGCGACTGGCATGTACACCAACGACTGGTAAGCACTGCTCTGCAACTCAGTTTTCCATCCCGCGTCGAAGCTAAACCACAGCAGGGACCCCAAGAATGGAACATTCGCACGCAGCTCCGACAAGGGAGAGACCTGGGAGACCACCACTCTTCCCTTCAAGGTCGGCGGCAACATGCCCGGCCGCGGAACCGGTGAGCGTTTGGCTGTCGACCCCAAGAACTCGGAGATTATCTTCTTTGGTGCCCGCAGCGGCAACGGTTTGTGGAAGAGCACAGACGCTGGTGAGCAGAATTCCATCCACGATCTCCCCTCAATTCGGTTTTCTGACAGAGTATAATTGATTAGGTGCGACTTTCTCCAAGGTCTCTACTTTCGAGGCCGTCGGTACTTTCCGCCCTGGCGCAGCGAGCGATGCCTACAACGGTGACCTTCAAGGTCTGACCTTCGTCACCTTCGACGAGACCTCCGACGTCGTCAACGGTGCGACCTCGAGAATTTTTGTTGGAACCGCCGACAACACCACTGCATCCGTCTACGTGAGCACTGACGCCGGTGCCACCTGGGGCCCTGTCGATGGCCAGCCCAAGAAGTTCTTCCCCCACAAGGCTGTGCTCCAACCCGCCGAGAAGGTCATTTACTTCACCTACTCCGATGGAACCGGCCCCTACGATGGCACCCAGGGCGGTGTCTGGAAGTACGACCTGACTTCGAGCAAGTGGACCGATATCACCCCCACCACTGGTAGCGATCTCTACTACGGCTTTGGTGGACTCGGTGTCGATATGCAGAAGCCTGGAACGATCGTTGTCGCCACCCTGAACAGCTGGTATCCCGATGCCATCCTCTTCCGCTCCACTGACTCCGGCGCGACCTGGAAGAGAATCTGGAGCTACGGTGCCGATGGCAAGGTTGCGCCGCAGTACACCATCAGCGCCCCCAACGCTCCCTGGATCGAGACGAACTTCCTCGACATCGACACCAAGAAGCTCGGCTGGATGATTGAGTCCCTCTCAATTGACCCCACCAACAGCGACAAGTTCTTCTACGGCACCGGCCTTACCCTGTACGGTAGCAACGACCTGACCAACTGGGACAAGAACAAGACCATCACCATCCAGAGTCTTGCTTCCGGTATCGAGGAGATGGCAGTCGGTGCCTTGGCCAGTGCCGCTGAGGGCCCTGAGCTCTTCTTCGCGACTCTTGACAACAACGGCTTCACCTACAAGACCGCCGCCGATGTCGACAAGGCCCCTCAATCGGCCTGGACGAACCCTTGGTGGGCCAGCAGTGTCGACGTTGACTTTGCCGGCAACAGCCCCAACAAGGTTGCTCGCATCGGTAAGGCCACCGACTCTCCTCAGCTTGCCCTCAGCAACGACGGCGGCGAGACTTGGTCCGTTGTGAACTCCACCGGCAACACTATCACCGACGGCTCCGTTGCCTACTCTGCCGACGGCGATGTCATTCTCTGGTCCTCCAAGAGCGAGGGCGTCCAGGTCATCCGCAACGCAGGCAAGCCCGAGAACAGCACCCTCCCCGCGAGCAGCGTCATCGCCAGCGACAAGAAGAAGAACGACGTCTTCTACGCCGGTTCCAAGGCCACTTTTTACGTCTCTACCGACGGTGCAGCCACCTTCACAGAGTCTCCCCTGGGCAACGTCACCGAAATCCGCTTCATTGCCGCTCACCCCGCCACAGCCGGCGAGCTGTTCGTCTCCACCAACTCGGGCGTCTTCCACAGCACCGACTTTGGCAAGACCTTCACCTCCATCTCCGGCCCTTCCAACGCCCACGCCGTCTCCGTCGGCAAGGGCGAAGGCAGTGCCTGGAACCTGTACGTCTTCGGCGAGGCCGCCGACGGCAAGAAGCTCTACGCCAGCGCCGATCTCGGTGCTTCGTGGGTCGACCTCCAGGGCACCTACAGCTTTGGCGCTCTCGACGGCGCTGCTCTAGTTGGTTCCGCCAACGAGGCCAACGTTGTCTATGTTGGTACCAACGGCCGCGGTGTCATGTACACCTCGTGCCCTGTTTCCAACTCCACCGCGGCCCCGGCTGCTGCGCATGCCAGAAGGCACGCTCGCAGCAGACCCATGCGTCTTGGAAGAGCTCCCCACCGCCATTGAGCGCGGGGATGTTGTGTATGAAAAGCTCGATTCAATTCATCTGTAGATTCAGTTTAGAACTCATTACCTGTAAATAAACTGGTAAATTTTGAAGATTTAAAACCTCAAGCTATCTTATTAACGTCAAGTGAGACGCCAGCGAACTTTCCATCACTGCTATCGCTGGTGAAAGCACGGATTGTCTTGATCACGAATCCAGGTATCAACAGCAATTTAGGGGTACCCCGCTCATCAAAGTGTGCAATATGCAGGGGGGTCATAAAATTGTTCAGGGCTTTAGCGGCTGTCTTGTTAGCGCAACTTCAGTTTAAACTTCTGGAATAACTCTAAGCTTCCGATGACTTCAAATCACCTCAAATTGAACTTCAATCGGCCACATGGTTTCTTGAGACAAACAATGGCTTCCTTAACAAGTACAAGGGCGAAGTCTAAAGTCGCAATCGCTAGCTCCTCCTCTCCAAATCTTCATCTCGACCATCCTACACCCGAAGAATGCATCCAGATATGGACAATTACGGCTGATGAATGGAAAGATTGTTTGACTAAGCCCTTGTACATGCTCGAGTCCGCGTACCTCACCACAGTCCCACTTGCAAAAGACGGAGGCATGGCGACCTGGGTTCTCGTTGACAAAACTTCGCCGCCAAATGAGCGGAATATCTTCTGCTCATGTGAAACTTTTCGCAAACGCTGTCTCGTGAGCGATAGCATGGGGAACATGACGGAGAGAATCGTTCATGGGGTCGCCAGCGTCTTCTGTCCAGAAAAGTTTCGCGGCCGCGGCTTCGCAGCTCGTCATATGAAGGAGTTAGCGACGGTACTGCGCGGTTGGCAGTCCGAGAACGGAAGGATCATCGGAAGCGTCCTTAACTCAGACATAGGAAAGGGTTTTATACCAAGATGGGATGGACACCAAACCCAATCAACAGGCACCTGGTGTTGCCGCCTGCAAAGATGGAGAAACCTGCGACTTCACGGCCAATCTTCGAATCGGATCTGGAGAGCCTATGCCTCAGGGACAAGGCCATGATACAAAATGACATGGCCACACCGAGTCTGTCACGCAAGCGGGTGGTTATTCTACCAGACTTGAATCATATGTTATGGCACATTCGCAAAGAAGACTTTGCTACCAAGCAGATCTTTAGTAAAAAGGCAGTGATAAAGGGAGTAATCACTGGAGTGGCTGGGAAACAGGTCTGGGCTACTTGGGTTCGTCGTTACTACAGGCACCCAGACCCCCATAGCATTGAGGGTGCAGATGATAAGAATGTTCTTTATATTCTACGCCTTGTGGTAGAAGGGGATGAGACTGCGAACAAGCCACGCGAAGCAAACATCACGATATCGATGAAAGATTATGCAGAGCAAGCTGCTGCGTTGAAGGCTGTGATGCAGGCTGCTCAAGCAGAGGCGGCAGATTGGAGGCTAGACCAGGTACAACTATGGGATCCATCTCCCATGGTAAAGAGCCTTTTGGACCAAAGCGACCTAGATGCTGTTTACGTTGAGAGGCAGAGTCATAGCATTACTAGTCTACTATGGTTCGAGGATGGCGAGGATTTGGGAGCAGAGGACGCTCCGATTTTGATTGACAATGAGCATTATGCATGGTGTTAGGGGAGGAGAAAGATTCTTAGTTCGACTGAAAGCTCTTCATTACGGAATTCCATAAACGGAAGGCTTTGGCGCCGATTACCCAGCTATGATACAAGAGGCTCTGAAGCAATGGAACATAGGTCTGGGAGAGCTATCGAAATTTCACAGTGTGTGCAAGTTTGATTCCTCAGGTAATATGTACATGAAGTTAATCTCCGTCTCCAACCATCAAAGAGTTCATCCGTGCCACTAATGATACTGATGACTGATGATACTGATGCATCAAAACCGCTGAAAGCACATGTTAAGATTTAGCAAGCGAACTTCGCGGGTCCTGGAATCGTATAGTTCGTGACGACGGGGTAGTAGATGTTGATTGTGATGCCGGGATCGGATCCCTGAGACGATAGTCAGTAAACAGTGCATCTCATGTGGCTTGATGGTAATGATTCAACAACAGACCTTGTAAGCACCAGGGAAGCTGACAGTCGACGGGCTCTTGGCCGCGGTCCCGCCAACGACATTAATCTGAGCACACTCCATGTACAGTTGTGCACCCGGGTAGGAGCTGGCGCCGTGCAAGGCAATCATCTCAGCTCTGAGAAGGTACTGTCCGTTGGCAATACACTTGGGAATAGTAATAGCCTGCTTCCCAGCATTACCAATGACGCGCTCCGTTCCCCAGACACCACTGCTCAGCCCGTCCTCCTGGATCTTGAACCATCCCGCGCCAGTACCGGGATCGGTCTTGGCGTCGGTGACCTTCTTCATGTAGGCAAGAGTTGGTCCCTTGTGGCTGGCGTCCATGACGTCCTCGGGCCCGCTGGTCAGGGTGTGGCGCCAGACGGCTGTCACTGTTGACCCGGCTGTCACAGTGATGACTTTGTCAGTTGACTTTGTCGGGTTCGGATCACCGTTGCAGGCGATATACTGGGACGTGACGTCGGTCTGAGGACCGTCGTACTCCGGGGTACGGATGCCTTGAGAAACGCCGCTGTTGACGCCATCGGCCTCGAGGGAGACGAAGATGGTGTGGGCCTGGCAGAGGCCGGCAGCAGCGAGGAGACCGAGAAGCTTCATCTTGTAAAGTTATTGCCTTCCCTTTAGCATCAAGTATCCAAATGCGCACGGCGCAGGTCATGAGAAAGGGAGGTCAATCATCATTTTATACCGAATCTGCCGTGAACATGGTCCATAACGGACTTTACGACTCCCTCAACCGCGATGATGTTCCAGGACGGCGAGCACGGGGCGACCCCTTCCGGCATCCCACGAGCGGAAGGTCATGAGGTGGTGGCAAGAACGGATTGCATCGCTAAGTGAGACTGATAATGGAATAAAGGTGCCAATGCTAGCTTGGCGGGGCCAGTTCATCCGGCATTTAGATTAAGCTCATTTATCCTCCGCGAATCGCTTGGCGATAGTGTTGTATCGAGCCGCCCTTAGTCTCAAGTAAGTGGTGCCCTAGCCAATGACACCGACACCCACCGGCAGGAATCAGATGGGAGGACCTCTTGTTGGTCTGACCGACATGGATCGGGTGGCGGCCAGTTGCGGACTCCGGAGATCGTGAGCTGGGAATTCGGGACTGTTTCCGAAGACTAGGGTCAAGAACAGTTGCCGTAGATGAACTGGTTAACTCGATACGATCTGGGAAAACTTGAACAAGTGTTGCATATCTCTGGTTTTACGTGAGTGTTTGCTAAAGAAATTCCATGGCTCGACGCAAGCGCTGCGTCTCGCCGAACCCGGGCGCCCCTCGCCGTGAACTCAACAATGCCGGCGTCCCGATCCATGAGCCACACGATCAACTACCAAGCCGCCAACAGTGCTTCCGACAACATTCTCCAAAGTCCTAGACGGCTTCTCTCCATGCTTCCCAGCGACGGCGTCAATCGCCCCGGCTCCCGCCGCCGCCGTCATGACTCTTGCCGTTCGGTCCCTGTCATGCCGCGCCAGACCCGCCTCAATGATACCGGCACTAGCAGCTGCAACAGCGGCCTGACCCCAATTGGGCCCGGAGGCGGAATGCCTCCGTTTGCTTCTGCTGTGTGTGTGGCTGTGGTGGCAATGGTGCCCATCCCTGTGGCTACGATGGCTGCGGTCGGAGTCGTGGACCTCGGATCTTGGTCGCGATCGTGGACGCCTCTCTTCGTAGTGATAGTCTCTAATTCTTGGTTTGTATCTATCTTCTTCGTAGACTTCGACGCGGCCTCTGCGATCAGGAGGCTCGTAGTGCTGGCGTGCGACGTGGGCAGCGCCGGCATCCCTTGTCGGGCTGTACCCTGGACTTCCGACGCTCAAGTCGGAGTAGACTGGTGAGTGGTGCCGCCGGCGGGTTGAGTATTGGTCCCGTACATCGTAATCTTTGTACGACATCTTGAATGTTGACTGATGAGTCGCAATCTCGGGGGCTTCAGAAGTTCGTAGATGAGAGCTCCATAGGCTTTCATGGCCGTATCATGGGGAGCCAGCTTAAATAAGATGACGGAAATCGACAACTCAGAGGCCAAGGGCACTAGACCTCCGCTTATCTTGCCGACCACAGAAAGTCTTGTGGGGAATAGGGACTTCGCCTCTCAGGACTGCATATTGGGAAATTCTGATGTAAGCTCTCGGCCGGATGGGTAACAGTGTTTCTAATCAGGTTCTAAGAAAGTGCATCTTTGACTAAGGTTCAAACCACCTTGTGATGGTAAAGTGGAGCAAATGCTCTCACATGTAATGAACTTACATGCGTCCACTGTCTGGAACTGTGAGCTAAATCAGGTTTTTGGTAGCTTTGGGCTACAAGCAAATGGAGGTTTGGCTTTGGCGCGCATTTCCAAAGCATGATTGAACGACCAAGTATGAACGAAGAGAGTTATGGCACACGTCATGCATCAGCAGTTTTGGTTTCTGACGGAGTTGACTCCGGCGGTTTCCGATGCCGCAGTCACTATTACCTTCACTGGCTCCGCAAGCTGAGGGTACCTGCGCAACAAGATTACGTAGGAAAAGACGAACTGCGAAAATTTGGAAGACAGATGGATGTGATCCTGGTGTGCTGGAAGTGCTGCAAGCCGTGGTCTTATGACGTGAAAGTGACAAAGAGATACCGGGGCAAACTCGCCGTGGTCGACACCGATCGGGCCCACCCGGAGTTGCTCGGCTCCGGGTCGGTCGGCTCCAGGCTTATCATGTGTCTTGTTACAATACATGCGAGGTCAGAAAAGAGATGTGGTCGGAGTATTGAAATCCAGGCCGTTATCTTGGGTGCAACCAGCATACTGAGAGAAACCCATAATGATTAATATTTACTGTGACCACTGGGGTCTTGCTCCGTCATAATGCCGTATATCATCGGACGTCTCACCCATGCTTCCCCAGAATTCCCTCCTCACCAACCCCGCAAAATCGGGCCATGCGCATTCAAGGCCCAGTTTTGGTGGCGAGGAAGTCTGTGATCTGCTGAGACGGCGGACCGCGATCAGGCGAGGGGTTACTCCGCGTCGGAGCCAAGGACATCGTGAGCCGAAATTGCCTCGCAAGCTCCTCAGACTCGGTCATGGTGAGGCACTCTTCCAACCGGGCCACGTCCTGGTTGTCGGTATCGCGGACGTGGGCTGCCAGGTCTACCCAGAGAGCCTTTAACTCGGTTTCGAAGCTGTCATCGTCGACTGGAATCGCTTGGAGGCGGCAAATCTTTTCCTTCAACTAAAGCGACCGGTCAATTTGCCGATGTGACTATGGGTGGGCGACAACGCTAAACTTACGCTTTCGCGGTCCGTGTGATTCCTGGCGCTACGAGACTCGCCATCGGCCAGTCGATCTGTGAGGATTGGAAGGAGGACTTGTTCCTCGCTGATGCAATGCCTTGCCAGTTCGAGGCTGAGCTCATTCCTCCATCGGACTTTGTCTTCTAGAGTGGTTGATGTGAGGATATATCGATATGCCTGCTCGATCTTCCGATGGTCATCCTTGATCGCGTCGCTGAGTCTCGTCATGATGTTGATATTTCGTGGTTGGATATTGAGGTGAATAGTGCTTAGGCCTATTACTTCGAAGCATGAAAGAGAAGCTGGCGAAATAGAACGGTGATACTTGTTGAGTTTGAGGTGCTGGTGGGCGGCAACCGGAAAAAGGTGAGTTTCCCCGCGAACTTTGGTGGAGATGGTTTTGAATAAGATCATCAATCTGACCACAGAGCGGGAATCCCATGCCTAAAGTAAGTAAGCAAACCCACAAATGACGTTTCGGAGACTCATGGCTGTGGCGTCTCACCAGGGGCTGATCCTATTGTGATACCTGACAGACACCGCCATGTCTGCCCAAGCTTGTCAAGTAGTCTCCGATAAGCTATCACTCTTTCCCTTGCTCACTCTCACTCACTCCAGGAACAGTGGCACAGCAAGGGAGGGGTCCTGTCAAAGTACCTTGGTATCCGCGGTGGCTTTGCAGGCTTACAGGCTGCAGCATCCCGAGAAGCAAAGGAGATCAGTGGGACATCTTTTAGACCCCCCGAGCTCCCGGCGCGAAGTGGAGCAGCCGCTCCGGAGACGTGAATTCATGGAGTGAGTGGTCCGGCGGTTGGGTTGGGTTGGGGATTCCGCCCCCAAAGGCCCCCTAAGGATGACTGACCGGCATCAAGAACTGCCTATTCCGGCATGGTGGACCACGCATCCGGTTGCGATCCCGGACGGTGATTTGTTTGGCAATCATGGGAAAGAGTGTGCCCTTGGGCCTCAGCCCTGTTTTTTCTGGTCCGCCACTCTATCATCATCGCGTCACCCCAAGCCGTTTCCGAATGCTAGGGTTTGGGATCTGGCCAGCTGTGTCGACCGTCAGACTGTGCCACGTGGGCTTTCAACCTACTATGTATGTTCAATGTTCCGTTGGTCAATACCTAGCACTAAAACATGATGAACAAACGGATCAAGGTAAAACCGGTATTATGGCAACTTTATTACCATGGCGCGTACGTCGCCTTTGCCACGACAGGGAAGACAGTGTTGCGCCGCCGACGTTCGTTATCTAAACCAACCAACATCCAAAGAACGTGACTCTTATTGTGTTCCTGCGCAAAACTCTCTGACTTCCAGAAGGGACAATCAAAGTCTCGTTTGATCTAAAGGGCCGGGTTCGGTGTACCGGTGAATATGCCTGAGACAAGAAGCTTTGCAAGCTAACTCGACCCCAGCCATCAAACGGCGAAAAAGATAAGCGGCAGCCAACGCCATGTCGTCAGGCTTTTGGCGGGGTAATAAGCCACGAAGAACCAAAGAACTCGGCTCTTTTCTCCCATTGCATGATTCGCTTTACCACAACTCTTCCTTCTGTGGTGTACCGAGTCGTCACCCAGCCACATCATCGTGAGGCTCGTCATACTACGGTCAAAGGTTAGCCCGTAATTTCACCGCTGACGCCGCAGATCCTCGGTGTAACCCATCTTGGATCGCAAAAGTATCTATGTGTACCTCTTCCGGCGTCTTTGCCTCACAAGGATATCTCCATTTCGCCCTTCAGATTCTGCCACGAGCCAAGAACCTGTCCGGGATGTCGACATGCTTGCATCGTAGATACTCTGCCAAGTTCTTGCTAAGGAAATCGTAAGACGAGCTAGCAGAGACGCCCCTATCCAGGTGATCCTTCAATAGGAAGTGCACAGCTATCTCTAAGTCAGTTAAACACGACACCATCGACCTTTACAAAGGACAGAATAACTCACCATGGAGATGTGGGAGCTCGAAACGGAAAACCGGTTTACCCTTGTCATCCTCTCCTAGCAAATCACGAATCTTCCTGACCGTCAATATCGACCTTAACCAATCCCACTCGTCGGCATTCCGCACAAAGAATCCAACGTTGCTGTCGGACCCCTTGTCACCCGACCGCGCATGTACGACATACCCAAGCGGTGACCTTGTAGTTGGCCCCAAGGTCGCCACATCAGTCGGGCTTTTGGTCTCGTACGTCGGTTGGTCGTACAAAAAGTCCACTGTGTCCCGCGGGGACTCAATGTCGACCTTTTGACTCTTCCACGGTAAATGGCACACGTGCTTTGCTGCGCTCTGCGGGAGAATGCTAACCCAGTACTCATGGTACTCCTTTGGGATTGCTTGTCGCGTGTCTAGGTGGAATGTTGCACCGGGGTAGCTTTGCATGATGTTATCCACAATTGGTTTCAGGAATTTCAAGGGCGACAACGCTGCTTGGTCGCGCGCTTGTGCAAAGATGCGGAGATCGACAGTTGCTGCATCTTGGTTTGTGGGGTTCTCTGGACAAGAGCCGTTGGTGCTGAATTTGAGGCAAGAGAAGGACTTCACGTCAAGAACGTGGCGAAGCTGACGCTCAAACAATGCCGCCTTCTCATTGATGTCGAGGCCGCAAAGAAAGTAATGGGCTTCGGCTTGATATCCGCCTTTGGCTGTAATACCAACCTTTGTAGTCGGAGGAGGCTTCATACTGCCGACGTTGAAAACTCGACTGTAGCGATGTCAGTGGGAGTTTTCAATGGGTATTGTGATGGCGACATACACTTGATCCTGTCCCACCTGTGTCATCTTGATGTTGTCTAGGATGGCCGCGACATCTGAGTTGTAGTAATATGGCCCTTGGATCTCGTAGAGAAGCTGAGCTTTGCACGTTTCCAGAGTCACCGTACCTCCCCTTCGAGCTTGCTTGTAGACGGTAAACTCGCCAGTTTCCTCGACTTTGGCAATCGGAAATCCAATCTCGACAGAAGTACCAGGCAAGCTCTTGAACCCAGAAAAGTTTCCGCCCGTCACGTAAGTCGTGCATTCGATGAAGTGACCTGCAACGAGTGCGTGCGCCAGCTGCGAGTAGTCATCACGCTTCCACCCATGATGGTATGCTGCGCATGCAACGGTTGGCGAAGCATCAGCTACACGGCCGCACAACACGATATGAGCCCCTTGCTTGAATGCTTCAACTATTCCCCAGCAGCCCAGATATGCCTGAGCGTAGATGGGTTCGTAAGGCCAGTCCTTGATATTCTCGCCTAGACTTGTCAGCATCTAGCACCATAAGCCATGGGATTAGCTGGGTCGTGAAGTACCCGTTGTCAGATTCTTAAATCCTTCTCCAGACTTCAGCCCCTTTTTAACAACATCAATCACCTCGTCGCCCTCAATCCAGGCGACTTTAAGCTTCAAGCCCTTCTCGCTAATCATGTGAACTAGAACATCATGCAGCTTCTTCGTATCGCTTGCCCCAGCGTTGACAGCAAGTTTGATCCGCCTGGAATCCAAGTATTGCAGCGCAGGCTCGACCGCTTCGAGAAATGAAGGTTCAAATTCAGACGAGTTTGAAGGATCAGTCGCCTTCGCGACACCCCTTGATGTCATGTTGTACTCTGACATCCAGTCGCCGACAATGTA